ACATGTAGGACGTGAAAACAGTGAATTTATACAATGCTAGAAATTTTAGACCCAATCGAAGTATTTGTACTCAATGTTTGTTTTCTGAGTAGATGTGTCAGAAAACATTTTTATATAAGGAGTCGGCTTCTTTGAAGTGAAAGAAGCCGAAAATGGGAAATAATGGGTAATGGTTCGGCCTGATTATCCTTTCAGGATTATGTAGACGAGGATAATTAGAGAAAAAGCCAAATTGTTGAAGAATTAGACTAGAAATGTTTGATGTGTGGAATGTAATGATTGTTTTATATGTATTGTGTGATGTCATGATGATATAAGAATGTTATTGATATTGAATTTGATTAATGAAATTCACTTTTATCACATCCTACAAATATTTGTATACTTTAAACAATGTTTATAAATCCCAGGCTCTGAAGATGATCTCAATAAAGATCGAAACTTTGGGATGATAAATAAAATGTTTTTCTAAAACCTACGTCACACCAGACGCATCTCACGATCACCAAATAATACTTTTTTTAATCTTTTACTCCACTCTTTCTACTCTCTAATTCCACCTCAGCTGGTAGGAAAGCGGCGGAGAGAGGGTGACAAAAACTGGTAGCAAAGCGTTTTATTCACAGCAATGAAGCGTATTTCAAAATCTAATTTTAGTCGCAATTAAATGATCATAAATCGTTATTTAAAGATTTTAAAAAATATTATTTTTGGTGTGCTCATTTCATTGTTGGTAAAATAAAAACCAAAATGTTCTAGGAAGCAGAATATTCTAATTTGGTATGACTTAAAAAGATAAATCAACAAAATCCTGTTTGTTGCTTGTTTAATCGTTTGACTTAAACGATTCTAAATGAAAAAAAGAATATTTTCTTAATAAAATTAAATGTAAAAAAAGTCAAAATGGAAGAAAATAAATGAGGAAATGAAAGTGGACCAATGTTTCAAAATTAAATCAAATAAAATTAAATAAAACCATTCACCGGAAAAAATGCCAAGAAAGACTCACCTTGCTGAAACTTGTCGAATCACGGCGGCGACGCAACTTCGGGCCTGAGTCCGTCGTAGTCTCCGGAGTACAGCTTCGGCTAATTTCCTTGTGAATATTAATTTCGGGTTGAACCAAAACAAGTTAAATCACTGGCACAACTTTAAATAGAAAGCCGCTGGAGAGAATAGTAGGAGTGGATCGTAAGAGAATCCCATAGTGAAGTTGGCCGCGTAAGCGGGGAGGGGGGGAATCAAAAGAAAGCAACTACTTTTTGCATTAAGAGAACGAAGTATTTACATATGTACTATTGGCGTAAACATGCATAATTTAATTAACATTCTGTACACATGAACTTTCCTTGGACGCAGATTTGTAAAACGTAAAAACCAAAATGTTTTATGACGCAGAATATACTAATTTGGTATGATTTAAAAGGTAAATCAACAAAATAATACTTTTTTTGCATGTTTTAGTAATCGTTCTGTATATATTTGGTGGCATCGGGGATGTGATCCAATGAATGTTGTGTGTCGAACCTATGTTAAACTTTCGGTGCTTTTATTTCACCTTCCTCAGGCCTCTACAACGGATATACAAACATTTTTTTTTGTATAATTACTCAGTTATGTATGCAAATCAACAATCATCTTGTTTTTACAACTTACAGATTAGTCAACATTTAAAAAAAATTTTATCAACATGTATAAAACTTTTTTGCTCTTTTTACTATCTCTTAGTTTTTGCTAAATTAATGTTTTTTTAATAAATAAATAAATACTACTTTTTACGAATTAACATCACAGACAAAATCAAAAATGTAACTTAAACAAAGAGGATAGTGTAGGTTACTATCATGTACCTGGTTATATAATATGGTTATATCTGCCCACGTTTGGGAATTAGGCATTAAAATTCTTATTTTAATTTAATAATAAATAAATAAAAACATAACCTGTGATTTCTCTAATCTAATAAAACAATTTTATATATTAAACAAATAAACAACTAAAGAACATTACATTTTCTATAAATTATTTCATTATCTACCTAATTTGATCGTTTAAAATCCCGTTGTAAATTGTGCTTAAACCGTTGATATCAGGTTACAAGTATTTCCATCCATAAAAATGTACGTCCAAGGAGAGGTTCATGTGTAATTTGTAAGATTTTTTATCTCATCAAAATTGAATTTGTGAGCTTTTTCGAGGCAATATTGTAGAACCCTGAGGAAGGCGAAATAAAAAACACCGAAAGCTTGGCATAGTTTCAACACACAAAATTCATTGGACCACATCCCCGATCCCACCAAATATATTACGAATTATAACACTCTCACACAAAACCAATAAGACACCACAAGAATGTATACAGAATGTTTATTAAGATATGTAAAAAAGCAGTACTTCGTTGATTATCTTTTAAAATCATACCAAATTAGAATATTGTGCTTCATAGAACATTTTGGTTTTTCTCTTAGCCGACAATGAAATTAATACACCAAAACTAATATTTTTTTTTAGAATCTTCAAATAACGATTTATGATCATTTAATTGCGATTAAAACTAGATTTTGAAATATGCATCATTGCTGTGAATAAAATGCTCTGCTGCCAGTTTTTATCACCCTCTCTCTCCGCCCCTTTCCTACAAGCCGAGCTGGCATTAGATAGTAGAAAGAGTAGAATAAAAGATTTTTAAAAATAATTTTTTAAATGATTTAGAAACAGAAAATTAAGTAACATTAAATGAAAATAAGTGATTATGCAACAATTATTATATATTTAGGCTAAACCCGCACAACGTCTGTGTCATGCCGAACTGTTGGCCCGTTTTATTTTTTTAATATTTCAGTCATCTGATTGAGGAAGGTTTTCAAAATCAAATTTTAATCTCAATTAAATAATCACAATTGGTTATTTAGAGACCAAAAAATACTGTTTTTGGTATACTGATTTCATTGTTGGTTAAGATAAAACCAAGAATATTCTATGACGCAGATCTGGTATGATTTTAAAAGATAAATCAACAAACTACTGTTTTTTGCGTATTTTAAAAAACATTCTGTAAGCAAAGTAGGTTAGAAAATGGCCAAAACATGGATTTGACCTCATTGTCGTGATTCTAGTGTAAAAAACCTTTAAATACAGATTTTCGCGAAAATCTGTGTAAATTAATTTTTTGGCTTTGAATTTCGACGACCTTCTTTGTGATTGACATTCCTTGTGCAAGCAAGCATAATTTTTCTCAATACCTAAGAGACCGATTTTCATGGTTGATAATAGGTTTTAAAGATATTGTCAAGTGTATTTTATAACTGTATCAAACATTATTATCGGAATATTAGCTCCATTTTAAAAAAGTGGTTAATTTATGACAAAAATATTTTCTTATTTTAAGTAATTTCTTACATAAATCTTTTATATATTTTTATGGTACATACGTCGTTTTAAAGAACGGTTTTCTTCTTTCAATGGTATTTTTGACGTTAAAATCCTTTTAGCCAATTTTGAATTATAGTCGTTTCAATCAGATATTCCGAGAACTTCTCAAAAATCGAAAAAAATTTAGGAGTCAAAAATCTATCAATTTGAATTCAAATAAAAATGTATATTTAGGGGTCTCTAGAAGTGCTAAGACGAAATTTCATATTAGTTTCACGAAAAAAATTATGACCTAGTTTACTTGAAAAATATTTGGTTTTTAATCATGTTTTGGTTATTGATCAACTTTGATAGCTTTTACTGTTTTTATTGTAATATAAGATATATTCACATAGTTGATTTAAGTAAGCAAAACGGCGTAATAAAAACATTAAATTTCAACTTTTAAATTTTTTGTCGAAACCAGGCCTATTCACAAGATGTGAGGATATGTGTCCGATATTTTAGAGTTTAGAATCACCAAAAAAAGTTCCAAATCCTTGAAACACAAACCTGGTCGTCCCCTTAATAAGTTACAATCTGTTCTGTTACTTTTTAGGTTTAAAAAAATGTTTAAACCGATATCAAAATTAATGTCTATTTATAAGGCAAAAAACATTGGCCAGTACATAAAAATCAATAAAAAATGACAAAATATCGATTATCTAAAAATTCATTAAATAAAAAACAGATACCTACCGAATATATTTTGGCTTTTTTCTGTGTTTTTTAAAATATATTTAATCAATTGTTTTTCTTGGTGAACAGTGGTTAACGAATAAACTAGCTGAAACTTTTCGAAATGATCTTTTAATTACAATTATATTTCATACATACATAAATGAACATGCACGATTGTAACAAAAATAATACTTTCAAAATGCAATTCGATGAATACATAATTCGATAATTATATTATATACAATAATATAAATTTATTATTAATAATGCAAAGAAAGTAATATTACTTTGGAAGGACTGTTTAAAATAAAACATACAGAGAAAAAAGCTATAATGAAAAAATGTTTATCCAATGTTCTTTTATAATTTAACTTCAATTAAACTTACACTTATGACTCAAATCTTTGGGTAAAATCTCAAACAATTATCTCTGATGTTCTCCAACTCAAACCTCATAAATATTGTATTTGGAAGGTCATAAACTAGATATTTATTAACAATGTAAAAACTATTATAAAAATTGTTGTAAAAAAAATTATTAATGATATGTCTTATTATTTTTCTGTTTTAACAATATTGTTATACATGTATCCCTCTACTTCAAGGTTCTCTAAAAGATTTGTCGAAACTTTTCTAAAAGTTCTAATTTTTTGGATAAGACGGATTTAACACAATGTTGACCAAACAACACAAATCTATTCATTATCTTAAACCTGTCACTAATCATAACATCTTGTCGTATCTGTTCAGGCTATATATTAAAAAGTCCCTAATAAAATAATAATTAAAATTTAAAATGACCTTCCTGTCAATACTTAAGAAATTTGATGTTTGAGTTAATATTTTCAATTTTTTTCAATTTATTTTCTTTAGATACACCTTAATTTCCATCACAGATGAGTCTGGAAAACAAGAAAAATCATTTGAGCGCATTAGGATAAAATGCATGTGCCATATTATGTACAAGGTTTGACAGATAACTTAAACTTAATTTAATCTGTTGAAGTAAAATTAAAATGAACTTTTTAAATGTTTTTAAAGTATACAAAGATAGAATATTAAAAAAATAAAAGAATTCAACAGAGAAAAATGGGACATTTAACCATCCAAATCTTTACTTAAAATATAATTTAAGGTAGAGAAAACATAAAATATGCCCAAAAAATTTAATTTATATGGATTTTTACGCAACTGTAATTGTTAATAAAACATAAAATTAAAAAAACAGAAAAAATATACTGAACACATACAAATTTCCAACCATAAACCGGTAACCATTCAAATTTAAAGTTAATGTTATTTAAAAAAATACTAAAAATGTAGCTTGATCACTTCCAATCATCTAGACTTTTTTTTCTACTGTATTTCAGCATTTGCCATCGTCAGTGGTTTATCTATAATATAAAAAGGGCACAAATGACATAACAAAACAAGCACTGAAAACGGCCAATCGTCTAAATGAATTACAACAAACCAAATTGGATCAGGACGATTAGAACAATCAAGCTACAGGTATGAACCATTACTGAATACACCCCAATGTTTTAAAATTAAAATAAATGACCAATCAGCCTTATTTTTGTAGTTTAAAAATAAAAAGTTTACTAATTTTCGTTCTTCTAAGTATAGTAGTAAATAGTACCTATCATCATTGGTTTTAGTCTGGCCTATGTATAAAGAAAACCCACCATCAAATGGCGGAACACTAAAATTTGTCTGACAGACAGTGAGCATAGAGACTAGGATGATTGTAAATGACCAAATTAAAATTTCATCACCTCAACAAGAAAACTCAAGATTTAAAACAGGTTGATCTAGATTTTGAAAAACTTATTTATTAAGATTACCATCACCACAAATACACAGTCTATATGATTTTAAACGAATGGAACATTTATTATTAATTTTTTGTCTCTTCTCATCACCGGAGCTGACTAAATTAATTAGCAACAATTCTATAAACAGTTTAATGTTTTTCAGATGGAGCTGAATGAGAATGAATTATCACTAAGCTCAGTGATTATTATTGTGAGCATTATTTTGGGTGTAAAAATTAATTGTATTAATCCATCCAAAAACTTAAAGCTTGAAAGCTTATCAGTAAAAAAACTTTTTTTTATCTAGACCTCTATTTTTATAAGTACTAAGGCTGGTCAATCATACAAGGTGTATATTTGTATGTTTTATATTATTTTATTGGGAAATTGGGATACAACAGTTATATATTTAAATGAACTACTTTTTAAGTGACCAATGCTGGCTCTTTTGTCACTTCTGGGAAATGAGACCAACGTAACACACAAATCAAATGGAATTTGATCCAGTAAGTGTAACTTTAAGAGAAGAAAAATCAAAAATTAATTTGTCAATTAACTAAGCAATGACAGAAAATAAATTTGGCTATACTGTTGTAGATAATATTTAGATTTTACTAACAATGAATATGTTAGTACAAGAAAATAAAAATTATAACAGCTAAATTAATGTTTTAACAACTAATATCCATGCCCTTATGATCCGTTTAAGTCTTTTAATAAGTGTAGAGATTAGTGAATAACTATCTTTTAATAAGTACACGGCTATTTATTTCCAAATGCTAAGAATTTTCTCCAAGCATCATTCACAGTAGCCTAATACCATACATACGGTTATTTGTTCATATATATTATTCATTAAAAATCAAATCACTAAGCATACATTATAGATATTAACATGCTAACAGTTTGGAATCCTATCTAATTTTACAATAAAACTTCATAAGATTTCTTATTAATCAAAGCAAGCGTAGGTGAACTTGTTGAAGAGTAAGCGGTGCATTTGAAGTCGTTCAAGAAATTGCGATGCGGTACATGTAGAGGAGCTGGTGTAGGCTTGTGGAAATAGGAAAAATGAATTGTACATTTATAAATCAAAAAATTGTTATATTAAATTTATCAACAATGGACACAGTTACAATAGGACACTAATACAACAATAACGAGGGTAACAATCACACAAACATGATGTACAAATATTTCAATTAACATATCCCTTAATCCAAGCCTTTCCTAAGATTGCCTTTTATTTTTTATTTATTTTTTTATATATATACTTTTAATTTTTTTATTTGACAATTTGTGATGCTTGAAATTAAAAATGATACAGAATTTCAAAGCTTAAGTTCCTAGAGTCTAGAAATCATGACCTTTTACAATACACGCCTCAAATCTAATGTTATTTTAAATAGATAAGTAAAATTAATAAAATAAAATATATTTTGTCTAAATCGGTTAATTTTAAAGAGTAGAGCCTGTTAGAGTGTGCATTCTTTTGTTAGTAATATAATTTAGCAGAGTCACTAGCATTTATATCTAAAATAATTTGACACATCTACTTTTTTATATGCATTCACTAGAAACAAGGTCTGAAGAAAAATATATCAAATTAAAGTATTAAAAAAAAAGTACAGTTAAAAGGAGAAAATATTTCAAAAAATAAAAATGTTGAGAAATGGTTTAAATGAAATCAAATTCTTTGTTTCATTCATAATTTATTTAAATATCAAACATTGTTATATATATTTTTTAAATTATTGTTTGTTAATTATTGACAGAAGCAAAACTAAATCTAAACATTGATCTTCTATTTTATAAAATTGAAAGTGTAAACACTTGGAAGAAGGTATGTGCATTATCCACAAGTTTCAATTTCTACCAGTCTGTGTATTTTTGTTAATGAGTTTTAATAAATACATGTAGCATTCCATAACATAACAAGTGTTATATACTTCAAGCACATAAATAGAGATGGAAAGGAGTACGATGATTGGAAGGGAGGTACGTTGTAATTTGGAGGGGGTCATCCAGCCATCGGCAGTGCAATATGAACACATTTTTCAATTTGAGTTAACTCCTTTTTTTTCCTTTTATTGTTGGGCAACTGAATTCAACTGAAACTACAATTAGTTACTTCTAACACTACTCGTACCTTATAATTACATACAGTGCAACCCATGTTTATACTTTTTATATATACAATCACAATTATTTTCAATGAAGCTGTTGATCATATCCTAAAATGAGAAATTTAACTGATAACCCCATTTGGTCAAATTTGTTAGAACTATGTAACTAAAACATGTTTTAAAAACGTATTGAACGTTTTATTCAAAATCTTTATTATGACCTGTTGTTCAATGAATACAACCGTATTGTTAACAAATTCTCGATTAGATGACAGTGATGTATCAACTATGTTTTGTTTTTCTAATAAACAATTTTTTAACAATTGGTAAAAACGGAATTTGTGCAATACGCTAGTCACACTGCTAAATTAAAAAATAAATAAAAATGTTTGTTTACAATCCCATGAATAGAAGACTTGGTATCTCTGCGGAGTAATAACCACAAAATATAATTGGCATCGAAATAGTGGATATGAGCCTCTGCAGGAGTGTAGGTGTCTTAATTAAAAAAATTTAAATAGTTGTTTTAATTTTAAATAACTTTAAATTTTTCTTTGAATTTAATCTAAGCAGAGACATCACAAGTAATTTCAGCAGTTTCAAGCTAATCACAATTATATACGTTTGTTTCTTTAAATATTATTAGCGAGATAAAACTAAATCTTGGGTTACAAACAAAAATTCGTTTAAGAAGTAATAATTAAAATACACAATAATAAATCATGTTATGAAATTTAAATAAGTACGAATATAAAAATGTTATTGAGTGAATAAAAAATAAACTTTGGTTACTAGAAGATTGAATGATCAAGGCCACTTTACAATACTAGAAATGGGTCGTAAAACACAACCTGGGTAAAAATATTTTCATCTTCAAGAGTAATTATTTTAAAATAAATCCAAAACTTCCTAGGCGTAATTCAATCACAAATAGACTGCAGTACAAAACACGCAAATCATTTCATTATTTTCCTTTATTGTTCTTTTAAAAACTACATTTTCTATTACCACTTTTACAAAATAAATAGTTTATCTATTAAATAAGCTATTCTTATTTTGTCAAGTCTTTTATTATTAGAGCCAAAATGCTTTGCAAATAACTCTCTTCAGCTTCGTCTCAACTCTTGAATATAAACAATATTTTTGCGTTATGTACACATATTAAATACAGCTGCTATTAACTTGTACTATCTGATATGAGATATCAACAAGGCGCTTTTGAATTCTAATTAAAGGATTTTTGTTATGTATATATATACGTTTATAGCTGTTAGTAACCGACTGGATTTCTCAATATGTAAAGGGTAATAAAAATAAGGTGAAATTTATTCATGACCTAACTTGGCAACAATTAAAAATGTGATAAATTATCACTATTAAAAAAAGTTTTTCTTTAAAATAATACTATTAATTTTAAAAAACGAGATTACTATTATCACATAACAATATATTGGCATCACAATACCGGGTGAACTCGAGTACACCTTATTCCAATTGAATGGAATTTACAAAATGCAAGGGAATATAAAATAATATTTAAATATTTACAATAACATTAAAGAATTAAAAAATTATATATATAATTTGTTTATACATGCTATATAAACAAGGTTCGCTTCAAATTTTTTCAACTTCCTTTTTCAATGTAACAAAGCTTAAAAACAGAGACAATATATTTTAAAACTTGAATCAATTGCTGTGAAGGCTGTGAAGAATCACCGCAGCTTGAAATGGATGTAGAATGGGAAAGCGGTTCCAGATTAATGCTGCAAAAAGAAAAGAAGGGACAATTACACAAATACAAATCCTACAAATAATACCACTTTAAACTCTAAACCCAGAAAGATGGGAATGTGTAATTGCCCAATCAATTCCTTAAATTAATATTTTTTTAATATTTAATAAAAAACTAAATAAAATTTCACATAAAATTAGCCTAGGAAACTGGTACCAAAAATGTCTAAAACAAGCCTAAAGGAGTAAACTATTCTAAACTTAACTCTTCAATCTGTTAATTGAATTATCGAGGAAATAACTAAAAATTGTTTAAACATTCTAAAAGTTATTTGGAAAAAAAATCACACAGCAGTTTTGGATAATTATGACAATATAATTATGAAATCATACTTCAAACTGTACTCAATTACATGGATCTTTGTTTTGGATCGTTCAGGGATATTTTACAACACTCCACTCTCTATAACATTAATATAACTCTCAAACTAACCAACTCACAGTTACGGTAAAAAGAACAATATTCAACAAAACTGCTAACAAAAAGGTAAATTTTTAACATGCAGAAGTTCAATAATAAAAAAATTAATATGGAAATGACATCAAAAAATTAAACTATTGTTCAATCAGATAAATGATCAAATCCGAAAGGTTTTACTGCGATTTTTTGAATACCAAAAAAGTCACATTAAAGGAACTGGCCAAGCAATTAAATTAAAAATAAGTCCTTTATTGACAGAATTAATTTTCACTGTATTACACCAAATAAATATAAAAACATCTTCTATTATTATTATTATTATTATTAATTTTTAAGGGCGTTTTAACGGCTAAGGTTATTATTATTATTATTATTAATTTTTAAGGGCGTTTTAACGGCTAAGGTCATTTCACGCCCTAACATCCAAACCTTCTATCTTAGGTTAGCTATATCTCTTCTGAGTGCTATAAAGCTCTGACTCCAAACATTCACTCGTAATCTTATTTATCCTATTGCCATCCAAGCTTTAATTTTTCTTTNTGGGATATCTAGCAATTTAAAACCCTCAACCGCCGGCAAGGTATTCCCTCCTAATCTCAACATTTCAGTACCGCGGATTCCGAGAGGTCTCGTCCTAGTTCTTAGGAATGAGTACATATCTTGGTGAGGGTTACGGAAAACTGAAGGAAATAGAAGATGGAAAGGCTTAGACCAAAGTCTAGCAACAAACCTAAGAATTGCCTCCTCCCTGAAAAATTCCGGAGGAAGCACACCGGCATCATTGCAGAGACTATATAAAGGGCTTGTTCTAAACGCCCCTGTTGCAATTCTGATACCTTGATAATAAATTCTATCTAGAGGTTTTAAAGTTGATATTCGCGCTGAAGAGTAACCTGCTGCTCCATATCGAAACTTTGCTCCTAAGTACATGCTGAATATTCTTAAAAGAATGTCTCTATTCGCCCCCCAATTGTAATTAGCAAGGAATCTCATCAGGCCTAGTATTTTCCTTCAATTTATAAATTGTAAATAATTGTTTACATTATTTTTAAATAAAGAAAGACTTAATTTGATATTCGACAGGTTGACTGTAATAGAGATAAAAGTTGAACTTGACTTGACTTTGGAAGCCAAACGCCCAAATTACTATACTTTATTTTTCATGAAGTTCAAATTAAAAAATATATAAAGTCGACTCTCGTTAATTGGAAACTTGATAATTCAAATTTCTTGATAATACGAACTCTTCAGCAGGTCACTTTGGTAAATCGAAAAAGTTCTGTGTATTTTGATACCGTCAGTAATACGAAATATTTTTCATAGCAGGGGGAGAAAGAGAATAAATCGAAGTGGAGCCACTTTCCCTCTTTTTATTTCGAACTTTTTCTTTGTAATATTCCTTCAAATTCCACGTATTGTTTACTTCCTTACAACCTAATGTTGCCTTGAATTTTCTCTAGTTTGTTATGTTCGGTGGTCAGTGTTTTATCAATTTGTTCTCAGCACTGGTCAAACAGAAAATCATTCAAAATCTCATCAAGTAATTTTTTTCCCTTTTGATAATTCGATTAAAACATTGTAAAAATAATGAAAAATAGATCAACTGTAAAACCACACATCAACGAGCACCGAATATAACTAAAGAAAATGCGAATAAACTTGAAGCTGTAAGGAAGTAAACAGTACGTGGAAATTTGGAAGAACATTACAAAAAAAATCAAAATATAAAGAAAGGAAGTGGCTCCATTTTGATTTATAGCAAAATCTCTCTCCTGTTATGAAAAATATTTTGTATCACTGAGTGTATCAAAATACACAGAACTTTGTCAATTTACCAAAGTGACCTGCTGACGAGTTCTTATTATCAAGACATTTGAATTATCAAGTTTGGCGATAGCAAGAGAACTGTATGTCTTAATACCTTGACCACATAGAAAGAGAGAGAGAGAGAGAGAGAGTAAAAAAATTTTTTTGTAAATTGTTATATCTAATATAAGGACTTTTATGAATCAAGCTTATGCAAAAAAAATTCATTAATTTTAAAAAAGTTATATCTAAAAATTTATTCCTTTCTTATTTTGTTATTTGTTGATTTAATGTTGCTTCTTTTCTATACTGCTTTACTTCGTTGATAAAATCTATGGTCTAAACATGCTTGCTTTATGGTATAAATAAATTGTTAAATATTGTAAGACAGCTTTACATTAGAAATAGCATAAGAAAAAATTTCTTTAATGCTATATGAAATCATTCCAATGATTTAAGGACCAAGAAACCTGGGAGCCTTTTTCCCCTCTTCAAAATCACCATTGAATAAGTCTGATTATTGAATCCACTTTCTAAAAGGCCTACTCCAAAACTGGACGTTAAATGAAATAATAACAATCAAAATATAAATTATTTCAATGAAAACATGCTCAAAATTAAAATGCAGAACACTGAAAGAGGCTCCTGACCTGACCATTACAACTACTAAAGTACTAAAGCTATCAATGCAATCACAAATTGTTTTGTTGGACCCTAGATGATTTTTAGCATCAAAAACTCGAGAACTGTGAAAGCCTGAGAATGGACTGTCCCATGCATATAGCTGATCCAGCTATATCGAGCATGAATTTGTGTAGTATCATTTAATATGAGAACAGTAGTTTTTGAGGTCTCAATTCTGAGTTTTAGAAGAAATAATGTTTAATAATAGCTGTTTACACAATCAAAGTTTATGTGTCAAATGTCTTGTTTGAATGTATTTATAAGCATGAATGGCAGAACTGAGAATGTTGAGCTTTTAATATGCGTGAATTTGGAATTGAAAAAGCCTACTTTTCAATAGCCTTGGAAACTTCAGTGGGCAAGATGGATAAGATCTATCTAACCAAAGACTGCCAACCGGGTAATTCCAATTTATACAAAATAGATTGTAATTATTGCATAATTTTTAGAAATGTAATGTAGCTTTGTTTTTGGTTCTTTTGAATAAGGTAAAAAACAAAATCAAATTAATGTTTTTTTTTTTTTTTTTTTTTTTTTAAATGTGTGGACAGAGAGATTCCAGATTAAAAATTCTTTATAGAAATATAGAAAGACAAGAATTTACTAAAGGAAAAGAATTAATAACATTGTTAACAGATGGGAATCTTTGAACACGTTGACTGCATGGCCATTTGGATGTCCATGGTAGAACCAAATTTATTGTGTAAAATACTCTCTTGTACTTAAAAATATGTAAATGATTTTTTTATGTTTATCTAAGTGATATAAATTACATGGCACAACTGATGCCGTCCCCTGCATCACAAAAAAGTAAATGAAATAGGCAACCCCAGAGTTTTGTTTCAGGTGTGAATAAATGAATAAAAGTTGTTTCTACTTTTTCAAATAATTTTTCCTTTATTTTACCTAGTTATTGAACATGGGTAAATAATTAAAATTATAAAACACATAGCCAGAAAAGCACAGAATAAATAAAAAAAATCACTTCCAGTTGGAAAAAAATTGAAATGACTGCCCTTTTGTCCTTTCTTTAGGCCCCTGACTTTAAACAGCCCTAGGAATTTATTTAGAAATCGTGAGATGCGGTCTGGTGTGATATAGGTTTCAGAAAAACATTGTCTTTATCGTGCCAATGTTTCGATCTTTATTGAGCCCTGAAGATGATCTCAATAAAGATCGAAACGTTGGCACGATAAAGAAAATGTTTTTCTGAAACCTACATCTCACAATTTCTAAATAAATATCGATTAACGGTCACTAACCACCACACAGCCCTAGGAATTTCAAACAGAATTGTGTAGCAGATGAAGGGAAGGGAGAGTTTAAAAAGTCAATCAATGGGAGGGTGCAGGCACATGTGGACAGTTGACATGGCCCAAATGTTGTGTCTTACGCAGTCAACATGTTACGAGAGTAGGAGTAGAGCTCAACTCCGATCTCATGAGCGAGGTACTCTGCAGTTAAGACATTATAAGCAATTTTAATTGACATAAACTCTTTGAACGGCAATAAAGTTAATTTTCTCATATCAAAAGTGACTTCTCAACAAAAATGTGTTCAATAAACCCAAAGCAATATCACTGTACAAGCTCTACCTGCATATATAGCTAAGCTAGTGCAAATATAAATGAAATGTGTACCAGGCCATATGTACATTGCAAAGAAAGACAACAAAAAGAGTGACAAGTAAAAGCGAAGATTAAAAAACATGTAGCCTGCATTTCCATGACTCAATAACCACTTATTTTACAATAAAATCGATAGCAATTTAACTAGGGAAAAAGTATGAGTTTAAAATACCATTGTACACACAAAATACATTTGTATACCAATAATATTTTAAATATTTAAAAAAAAATAATAAAATTAAAAAATGGCAAGATGGATAATATAAATCCATCTCATTCATTTCTCCATCATCCTGGGCTCTCATTTTAATTATGAAATATTAATTTGTTATTTTCTATCATTACAGAAAGAATTAAGTGACATTGTAACAAATTACATTTAACTCTAGTAAGGAAGTGGAGAATTTTCCCTGTGTTAAAATATTTGCATTTCCACAGCCCACTGCCTTAAGCCTGAGTAAGCAAAGCATCCAACAACTACAACTCTATTTGTTTTTGCAAACCTGTCCTACCTCAGATTTACGTCTAAACGCAAGCTGTGGTCTCCCACCGGCATGTCTCTGATGGTGCTTTATTGGAAAAAAACCAACAATTATATTTTGCGTTTACAGTATTCTATTAACAAATATATTTGTGATTTTTTTTTTTTTTTGTCTTTACAATGTACTATCACTTTAGTGAAATGCTCCAATAAACAGATTTTAAGAACAATATGAATAAATTTTGATTTCATTAATTATAGTCGCTTGACAACAACAAAAAAATTAAAAATAAATAGTCATCACTAACTGTATTTCATTTAAATAATTAACTAAGCAAAACCAAAAATACTTATACAAGAAAGGAATGAACGGTTTTGAACCAAATAAATCTTCAACAGTATATTAAATGCGATTAGAAAATCCCTAAAAAATCTTCAGCAGTTCGACAGGAATAAATTTACTTTTTACATAAGATTCATCCATATTGCCACACAGGACTGCCACAAAATCTGATTATCCGGCAGGTATTGCTCTTTAAAATATTCCTGTATCTCCTTAGTGAAAAGAATAATATGACAAAAGAAAACATGTCGAGCAATAAACAAAAATTTATTGTGCCAAAACCCAAATGCAATGACGAAAATACCGACTGGCTACAACTTTTTTTTAGACATATTTTTAGCAGACTGAACAGTTTCGTGTAATGCAAGCGGAAAAATTTAAATAGCAGTATAAAAGAATATTTACACAAAATAAAGATATAAGCTATATTTACCTATATTATTTTTTAATATGCATAATTACACAATTAATATATCACTACTTTCAGTCTTTCTATTTCTTTATGGTTTCGTTAAATTTTCAAAAAATTATGTAATTTGGAACTTTTATCATGCCTTTTGGCTGGTCTCATTTTTAAGAGCAATTTTTTCCCCTTTTTTTAATACAAATGCACTTTACTATTATTGCTTCTTAACTTAATTGGGAAATAGGGAGAAGGGCGTGTATTTTCACATGTTAAATACAAAAATGGTCATGCAAACTGTCACTTATTGTATAACACTGACACAGTTAACAAACAATTAGCACAAAGAGAAGCATTTAACACATAATTAAAATTTAAGTTTACTATTTGAAATCAGACAATCAAATTTAATTACTTCATTTGAACTTTTGAATAAGGTTTCATTAATGTTTTAAAATAATTGAATTTTTTTTAAATGCAAACATCAGCAATTATTATTAGACTGGCAGTTAATCCAAGCTCTTTTGTTACAAATATAAATTGGCATTAATGATATTTAAAATCTTACCACTTCTGACAGCGCTCCATCCTCAGATATTGCCTTAATATTGGTGTCTTTTTCATAAACCATCCCTTTTACCGGTGTCATAGGAAACCCTGCACCAAAAAAATAAATAAATAAATAAAGACATAAATGCATTATTTATTAGCCATTTGTTTATAAGTTAGGAACACCTCAAATCATTCAAATTGCAATTAGCATTTTAATTTAATTTTCTTTAAGAGTCTTAATCCTGCCATACAAGTATTTAAATTTATAGTTTGTTCATCTGGTTCTACAGGGGAATTATTTCAATCTTGCTTATTCTACGTGCATATTTTTAATACACAATTCTTGAATTATGTGATCATCTAGGCAAAAAATTTAATTAATCATCGTGGCCGGTTTGCCAGACGACGTATTTCAACAGCACTATTAATTTTCTATGTGCTACGTTATCAGTTGTAACCCTTTCATTCGCTTTACAAACATATAAAAAGGACATACTGAACAAATAATAGACAGATCAACAAGCAAAATGTGAAATGACGAAACATCTCTGACATACATAGCCGGCAGCCAAATCACATCGCAATCAACTCGCACAACAAAGGTCCACGCTTAAAATCTTTAATTTTATAATTTATCACTTGCAAGTTGTCAGTATGTAATAATTATTTGTATTTAAAACAGGTACTTCATTTGACTATATAAAACTATCAAAACACCAAAAATAGAAAGAAAGAGTAGCAAGATTTTTTAAAATTCAAGACCAAATAATAAATTGCTAGATATAAATCAATATAATTTTTAAAAGCAAAAGCTTTAAAAAATTAAAAGGAAAAAGAGATCCTTACCATTGCATCTATGTCATTATATTAATAAATAATTATTGGGTGTGTGCATACTTTTTTTTTCAAATTTCTGTTTTCACCTTAATAAGGCGATCCTTTAAACGACATGCTAGTAGATAGAATTCTTTTGAGGCAATGCTTGCTATAAGAGTTCGATCTCAGACATAGAGTGAACAATGACCATCAAAATTTATACGGAATTATTTATATGGAATTTATAGTAAAACAATGTGTGATTCAACAGTGTTCTATTGAATGCTACATTTTTGTAATGGAGAGAGATAAATCAAAGACCAGCCTTGTTGAAGAATGCTTAATGAGTTTAAAACCGATTACTTACTAGTAGCATTGGAGGATGAGGACAAATCAACTGAAGCAGAGCTATCAGAGAGATTTCAAGTGCATTTTACAATAGAAAGGGAAAAAAACAACAAGGGAAGCACATAGCTTGTCGTGTTTCACATCTAAATAGGGCTAAATTGGAAGGGTTTATTTCCTATTTTTCACTGGGGATGAGAAGCGGGTCTTTTACAAAAATTTTAAACATTGAAGGGCCGTTAGCAAGAAGAATGTCACACTGCCATAGTCGACAAGAGGAGGACCTCATAAGCCCCTATTGTCTGTTTGGTGGGATATTCAAGAAATAATTTATTAGGAACTGTTACCACACAATCAAACCCTTTCGGCAGAGGTAAACTACACCGCTACAGCGTCTTGGGTCAGCACTGAACGAACAACATACAGCCTTGGTGATTAGACACAATGTTGTGTCAATCCTCACACAAATGCACTCACTCAGAGTAAAATCTCAAAGTTAGGCTAGCAACAAATGCACACCCTCCATAATCTCCAGACACAAGGTCAGATTTTCAGAATTTTTTCTTTTTTAGCTCCCTGGACAACCACTTAAAAGGTAGGGAATTTTTTTATGAAAACAATTTGAAAATCAGTCTTACAGATTTCTTCTCTTCTGTCAGCAGATTTTTACAAAAAGGGAATATTTCTGCTCCCCGTACATTGAAGTATATTGTAGAAAACAAAGGCAATTATGTTTTGGTTTATATATATAAAGTGTAAGGTATGGGCCAACAAAAAGGTTAGGTAACCACCGATGTTTTTGATTAAAAATAAAAATATCTTTATTTTGAAAGTTTTTTCTGAGAACTGATAAACTTATGCACACACCCAATATTACAACAAAGAAATATGTTGTAGTTATTAAACGGGTTTAAAAACATTTATTTTTATTGTTTTATTTATTCCAATAAAAGTTGTTTAAGCAAACAAAAACAAATTTAAATTTTTGTAAAATATACTGTAAAAAAAGTATAGTACAATTTATATCAACTATTATAGTTAGTAAACTGGTTATAAAAATTTCAAAGATAGGAATGAATAATGATCTGCATGGCAAAATCAATGTAAAAACTATGAGCAAAACAAAATTACGAATGGAATATTCTACAAATGGGCAGCAAGAGAATGTATTTTGTATATTGTACGCACCCATATCGCCGCTACTACTGCTCTCCGTGAAAGACGGCGTTCCCTCTGTCCAGGTGGGCGTAGATCCCTCAAAATGCCTGCCCCCGACTGTCGAGCCTCCACTCTCGACGCTCAGCGTTGACTTGTCCGATCGACATTCAAGCCTTACTTCTGACACACTGACAACACACACCCACACAGTCAACTACAACTACTTTCTAAGGGTTGATACTACAAGGTTTCTCACAAAAAAGGCATCAAAAGCAACCAGTGACAATTGTCTCACATAAACGTTTGCTATCTATGTGCGCAATATAAATTGAATTGAGCAAAACAATTTAATTTTATTGTTGAAAATTTATTATTTTGGTAGCAAAAGAACCCTTTGTGAGTACTTGAATATAAAACCATTAAATCAGAGTATAAGTCAAAAATTTATAAATGTACATGAAAGACGAATTCATAAAAAATATCAACAAAATTATAAAAAACAACAAACATAAAGAACTGATTTAAAAAAATAAAATTGACATAACCGTGAATTAATATTAGTAATGTTAATTAAGAAAATAAAATAACTAAATAATAACTCCTATTTTTGCTTAATTGAAAATGTTAATTAATTATGTAAATATTTAAGGACTTTTGTAAACAAGATCAATCAATATTGCCAATACTAGAAAAGGTTATATAAATTATCTATTAGCTAAACTAGGATCAAACAAAATTTATTTGAGATTATTTCATTTAGGTACTTCATCCATGCGTCAATTTGGAATTTAAAACACTGCAAGCAATTCTTCTCAACAGGAAATAAAAATAAGTTAAACCTATGTTAAAAATTTGTATATGAATAAACTTATTCTTAAAATGGTGCCTACTCGATTTGTTTAATATGTAGTACATGCAATTAAAAAAAGTATCTTAAACCAATTATCTTAGTCTTCCAGTCAACAATGTTTTGGAATTTTGCCATTTTCATTAGTTGTGACAAAACAACCACCAAAGATGGCAAAAAGCTGAAATACATTAGCAGACCAAACCTGTGAGAATAGTCAGACAAAGGTAATCAGAGATGACAGAAAGATTAATTGTGTGACATCCTCAAAAAAAAAGTTTATTTTAACTAACTTTTGAGTTAATCCAACTCTAAAATTTTATTGTGTATAATAATCCAAATAAGTTTATTTAAAAAGTGAACATTATTTATTGTTTATTATTAGTTTTGAAAAAATATTGTTTGTTCTATATTAAAACCATCAGGTTTTTTTTTTTTTTTTTCGTTTAAACTGCAGTCTTTATTTAGAATGCACAATTTGAAAAGATAGTTAATCTGAAATAAGTTTTAAACAAAAAGCAGGCATTTTTAGTCATAAAAATTAAGAAAGAAAATTCTAGCATTGGCAAGAAGATTTTTTTTGCAGTGAACTCTATTTACAATTAATAGTAATTCTAGTTATCGATTGTTAACTGTTAATGGGGATTAAATTGAAAAAATGAAGAGGAAGAAGAGAAAGAGTCACTGTTTTAAGGTTCAAAGGCAATAATCATTTAAAAATAGACGTCGTCAGGTTTTAGAACCTCATAAATCTACAGTTTACTCTTTAGACTCTGCTTACCTCGCATGTCCTTCGTGGAAAGTAACAACTTGTTTTGTGGCCACCGCACTAGAGTCCCAAAAAAAGTAAATAAATAACAACAAAATGAACAAAAAAAATAAAATAAAATCATTAAAATGCAATATTTTGTTTTTGAGGGTGATCAAATCAAAATTTATCTGGAAGGGAAAACAAAAATAATGAAAATTGAAGAAAATGAGATTAGGAACTAAAAAAATATATACTCAGGACAAACCGTACTCAAATAAATTGGATTTTTTGGAGAAAAAAGCAATTTGAGCAACCAAAGTACTAATGTTTTGTTTTTTAATGAGCTTTAAGCAGTGCTGTTCATACTTTCAACATCACTATTTTTAGAAGGAAATTTAATAATTTAAATGTACCTAGTGAGAAATATCATTGTTCTTTAAAAACAAAACAAAAAGCTGTCATTTTATCCTTAAATACATAATTTTATATTTTTTTATTTTCCTTTTTTTTTATTTCAATGTTCAACACTGTTTTCCAGCTTCAGCAAACGAAATCTGCTTGTTTAATCTTATGAAGAGGGCAAGCCGGCCAAAGTGGACAACTTTCAAGTTGCCTCTGGCCAGACGAATCCTTTCAAAAACTTGATTCAGCCATTGTATCATCGTATAATAGCCTTCCCATATAAAGCAGATAGTAAAGGAATTCTTCTTTGTCTCTACACACGGAAGCAGCTCGCCATCCCTCAAAATGACTGGCTTGATCACTTGTATGACAATGAGCCTGAGTAAGCAAAACAGACTGTAAGCACAATTTGCTAAATTAATAATTAGCACGAGCATTTATAATTATTAGAGGGCTTTAATAACGACTTTTGTAAATCATCCTTGATAATTTTTTGGGGCAAATTAACTTGGAAGATTATTCTTATATTAGAGATTTACTTCTGGACAATTAAAGATGAATTTCACGTTTAAAAAGCAATATTTTTTACACCGTTGATCAATAAACAATTTTTTTGAATTTATGTATTTGAAGGCACATAAAAATAAACTTATGATCTTAAAATCTAGAAAAAAATTAAATTATAGGAAATTATGTGGGATTTTTTAAATTTATTATGTATGTGTTTTTTTATGGTTCAATGTTTAACTTTTTGCCATTCATGCATTTTACATTGAAGTTACCAAATTTTTCAACAAAGCAATTGCAAGAAATTTAAAAAATGAAAAAAACATTGAAATATGAAACATAAATTTGGATGAGATGTTGAAAAGACTGAACAGCACTAAAATTTAGAAGCAAAACTAAATTATGAAAATCAGCTAATAAGATGATAACATGAAAATATCATGCTTTTGATTAAAGGCAGCTAATTTATGATGAGTACTAGTCGAAAAATATTTTTAGGAATGAAATAATCACCTAGTACTGTGCCTTGATGTCGGCCGGTGCCTAAGAGGAGAGGAGCCATCGATGTGGAGGTCCGAACGGATTGCATCCTCAAACGTTGGTGGCGGTGTTGAACTGCACGGGAATCCCAAAACCCCTAGACAGTTACAAAGGACTACTTCAAGCAACTACATCAATCAGAAAAAATCTAAGCCAAACTAATTTAGGTCAACTACTATTGGTGTCTCAAATAAAAATATATAAAAAAAATTTAGACTACTGCTATACAACTTAACTACAAAGCAAGTTATATAACAACACAATGTTTATTTACATCACACTTCTAAGTCCTATAACGGTAGTTAGAAGGTTCAAAAAATTTACAAAAACTAATAGTGTAAAGTTAAAAAATATAATAATTATCAGTATAAAAATTGGTAAAACAGGTTCATTAAGGTTTCACCTAATACAAGCATATCTTTCTACAACATTGCTTAAAACTGTTTACTGTTTTTTAAAAGCAAGTTTTAATATAACACTCACACACACCCACACACTTTACTTGTTAAAAATTGTTAAATTATAATGTCATTATAAAAGACATTAAAAGATGGCATCAAAGAATTTTTTTATTACTTTTGCCAATAGTTCTTTGCTGAGTACTAAATCTGTTTGATTTCTGAAGGCTAACTCTAAGTGGGCTCGACTGAATGAAACTGCTACTGTTTGAATCGTGTCTAGAGAGAGGCTTCGAGCCCAGTTTCATCTGTTCACTTTCAAAATCTGCAAAAGTTATATAAAAACACTAACATAAGGAAGGAAAAAAATTTTTTTTTTAATTTCGTTTTTATATATTCAATTTTTTAATTCCTTTTTGCCAAGGGCTCCTTAGTACAAACTGAACGCGCCACTTGACAAATCATACCTAAACATGTTAAAACTCTTGGGAAAATTTTGTAAAATTGATAGTATAGGGTGGTATATGACAGAGTGTACTAAGGAGTCTGGCTGATAGTAACACAATGAAAGATTTGTAGCTTGATTTATCAAAATAGTATTTTTTATTTATTTATTTTTGTTTAATTGACATTTTATAATGTACGAGGATTTTATACAAAAGGTTTGACTTGTAAGCTAAAAATTTTCAAAGCAATTTGAAAAGCTTAAAATCTGAAAGAAAATCAATTCAGGAAGTAATTATTTCAAAACACCTTAATTAAAATTTATTTTAACTCAATACTTTTTTTTAATTCTCATACAAGGGGTGAATAAAAAATAAGTATTTTCAACTTGTCTGTGTTTATTGAAAATACTTATATAGCTTCTAACAAACCTCGTAGATCTGACCTTGCTCCTTCAGGCTACTGCCTATTTCAAATAATTATATAACAGATAATAGAAATATGTTTAAAAAAATAATGGTCTCATTATCATTGTTATCATATTTCTACCGTTCACTGATGAACTTACCCCAATAAATAATAAAACAGTGTAAATAAAAATTATACAAAGTAACAAAAGACACCTAAACAGTACATAATACATAGAATAAATAAATTGGTTGTAATGAGATAAATGGTGCACAAAAGAGAAACAAAAAAACTCTGTAGAAGAGATTAATAAAATAAAATAATAACATTTTAATTAATAACAAACCATGCATGGAATTTTTAATTACTCATTGTTATTCAATGCTTGAATTTTGGATTTACAGCAAAGTGTAAATTGACTAGAAACTTGTTTAATTTGTTAAAACAACTAACACACTCAATAACTTCCTACAACAAACAAATGCACTGGGCCTATAACTTATATGCAAATAACAAATATGGGTTGCTAATATATGTGAAAAAAGTCAAACTATGTTAAAAAGCGCAATTATCAACTACAGAGTGGACTACTTTGAAGCATATACAATTGCAAGTTATAGCCAATCATTCTTCAAAAACTAATTACTTACTTAATTATTTTTGTCTTAGAACGTGCTTATGTCAGCGGAAAATTTCAAAAATATAGCTATGTGTTACTTTTATTATAATTTTTAGCGTTTTATTTCTAAGTTAGCTTGGTAAAAAACTAAGCATGTTTTTTCACATTTCCCAGTACCCCAAAAAAATAATGCAAATCAAGACAACTTATGTTCGTTTGAAATAAAAATTCTGGATATATGATGATTAAACTAATAGTGCAATAATGAACAAACAAAATCTAACCACCAGAGAAAGAAATATACAAAAGTCTATGAAACTTAAAACTTTGTTCATTATCCAATCCATCCTGAATAAAATAATATTCAATAGTTGTGACTTCAGAAATGATAAATGGTGGAGTAAGTGTGTTGTTCAATATTTTTAAAAAGGTATGAATAGTATTCCTCCCATACTATTCACTGGGATTGTGGATGAGGGTCCGATCACATTATAATAATTTCTAATTTAAAATCATTCTCATATAAAATTCCATGAATAATTCTAGGATTCAAACCAAAAACTCTAACGAATATGACAAATATGAGAATCAGACACTTAAATGGCATGGCTGTTCTCTTCTGCAGGATAAGAAGATACAACTATCATAGACATGTATTTTGCTTAAACAGTTTTACTACTTTGAGTTCATATTTTTGTGTGTGAAAGAGACTTGTTTGCTTAAATACACTGCTCTGCACAAACAAATTGGCCCACTTTGAAATTTTAATAATTTGTATGTACTTGCTTTTTTGCTAATATCAACACCTATATTTTTTATATTCAGGTATTTATTAAAAGATTTGGTTAGTGTGAAAATAAAAATACCTCTTAAAAAATAAATAAATAAATGAAAATTTAAAAAAAAAATCAATTTTGTGGATAATATAAAACATTATAACACAAACTTAAAAATCTTTAATATGATGGGTTACCTCTTCTTGCTTTTATTACAAATTCTAATCTTCTCAACATGCTCATAATTCGGCATTAATCATGTCAAGGAATTTCATCCCAAATCACAAATAAACCAACTTTCAACTAAGGGGGGGGGACCGTGGTAGCTGAGTTGTTAAAGTGTCAGACTCTCAGCTAGTAGATCCTGCAGTTGTCGGTTCAATTCCCGCCGTCGCCTCTGGACGTTTTTTCTAATGCCTAAGGGGACTGGTAGCCACAAAAAAAATTTGAAATGGCACTCATCAATAGAAGGTCTGGGGCAGGGTCGGACTTCAGCCTGCGACCCTGAATTTGATCCCAACCCCCTTCAAAATTGAGTTTCTTCGACGGAAGAACACCGGCACATCGGGGGCTCAAAGTCACACACGTGTCGCAAGCACCCAAAAAATGAAGCCAGGAAGTTAGTACAATAAGCTGTACACTATAGCTGCAGTGCTTGGGGGAAACTCCTCCAGTTCCTGGTATCCATTATTTAAAATAAAATAAAATAATAAAGGATGTAGGAGAAATATTGCTTTGTTTTACCCAACATTCGAGCTTATCCCAAGAGTTCAATGGGGTTCATATCAGGGATCGGGTTGGCCATCTTACAATGTGAATAGTGACATCTCGAAGGTACTGCATACTAGTGATAAGGTTTTGCATTATCTTGCATAAATAAGAATTAAGTGACAGCCTATTAAAAACATGCAACTCCATTTTTGCCTCCAAAGAAATTCCACTCCACACCACAACTGAATCACATCCAAACATGTATTCCCTTTTAGAATTGTTGTATTGGCTGTAGCGTTTTACAGATGCTCGATAAACACAAACAACAAAAACACAAGACATCTTTCTGGGATGATTCAGAAAACTGGGACTCATCTGAAAACATTAAATTCCTCCATACAGTTTCTATTTTAAGTCAGCGTACCCTTCCAAAATCTAAGCAGTCCCAACAATGGTCTCTGGTAAGCGCTGAACCCGATACTGGCTTTCTTCGGTGTAGACTCTTTTCTACCAGTCTTTTTCTTACTTTTTCAACATTAACTAACACATCCTGCATGGTTCAAAGTCTTTGGGACATTTCAGAAGCAGAGGAAAAACGATTTCTCAGGGTGTGCAATTATGTGGTTATTGTCTGGTCCCCTGGCTCTAGGCATCATAAACCTTGGCAATCTCCCTGTATTGCTGATTACCCAGGCAAATCTAAAACTCACACCTCATAACACGTTTTTCTTCTATCCTCACGAGTACAATAGCACAGGCAACTTGCTCGCTAACTATAGGCATTTTCATAATCATTTTGTTTGTAACAACAGTTATTAAAGGCATTTTTAAAGGATTAAATGCCCTTGATGTTTTACATTGTGGGTATTTTAAATCAAATCAGGAATTAAGAAGTTTTGTCTCACAATCGGCAACAAAAACAAATACTTTCCATCTAATTATAATTATTAAACCATTTTTGAAATAGTAAAACAAAAATATGGCCAAAACATTGTGAATTTAAAAAAGAAATCAAAATTTCAAAGTGAGCTACTTTTTTTATGGAGCAACATACATAGCTGTTGTGTTGTGCTATGCTTGAGGGTACTGAATGTTAGTATACTGAGATAAACAGCAAAAGTGCTATCAATAATATCTGACTATCACTGTATCTCTGACTAAAGGCAGATTTCGTTCTTATAGATAAGAAATTATCTTTTAATCAGTAACATCAACTTTCTACTTTGTAAAAACATTACAAGCAGATTTATATTTATTTACACACAATTAACAATCTCATTAATCACTGTAAATTATTCAACTTCCTTATCTTGAATCATTAATTTCAAACTAAACCGACTAATTGTCTAGTGTGATTTTATTTAAACCTTTATAAATTTTTAAATGGTTTTGATTTCATTTTATTATTCTTAAATTAATACACGTAATTTTGATTAAAAATCTCAACAACAAAAATATTTTTGACTATACAATAGGTTTGTGTAGGAGTGGAAATAAACCCCAAGAAAAATAAAGAATGTGACAAATAATTAACATTCTTTGTTTGGGCAGGTGGGAAACATGAAGCACACTTAAGATAAATTAACATGCGGCTCTTCATTATTTAAAAAACAATCAAAGACATAATGAAGATTTTTTTAAGCTTTCAAGCTTATAATTTTTAGAAAAGTCAATAAAATAAAATTCAGCCAATAAATTCAGTGTAATATGAATAAGTAGCTTAACTTTATGTGATAACTAACATGTTGCATTCAAACACAATAATTGCTCCTAGTGCAAGTGAATATGCTCATTAAAATCCAAGCAAAGTGCAAAAAAATAACAAAAGAATGATTAGCCATAACTGCGTTATGTAACAACTCATTCGGTACAAATGAAGTTGTCCACAGTGTTGAAGATAATTAAATGGACCTGTATTATGTTTCCTAGGTAGGCCACGAGGAGGAACAGGTGGTGGGGCCTTAGTCTGTGCTGGTTGGGCAGGTGCTGCGGAGCTTGGCTTGTCCTTAAGAACTGATGGATAGGAAGGAGGAGGAGGTGAAGTTGCCGCCTCTGGTGAACCTATCATCCCGCACAAATCCACATCCGCTCAATTTTTGTTGTATTATTCGTTTTTATTTTTATTTTATTTATTCTTATAATATACAAATTAAATAGCCATTGAAATATTGACTGTTTTGAAAAAAAGGAAACTTTTAGCTTTGTATAAGTTTAAGACAGTACAGCATTTTCTTATCAATGTAGTAATATTATTGCCCTATTTGATTTTATAATTTTTCAGATTATCTGTCTAATAAATTCATGCTTACTTAATCATACATTTCTTGCATGCATTGTATGCCTTGCATTTTGAAGCTAATAACAAAATTGTACTAAAACACTGTACCATAAATTGGTGAAAATTGCTGTACTGATTAGTAAAAGAGCAAAATGAATTTTTAATATCAGTATCCAATAATTAAGCACAGCTTAAAATGAAAGTTCAAACAATTATCAAGTGAATGGAGCCTAAAATAAACTCGAAGTTAAACCAAAAACACTAGCTCTTTTAAATGTAATTATTTATGAATATCTAATGCTTATAGCAATAAAATGAGTCAACATGAAAGCATGATAATTATAAGATTTAATCATTAGAGCTACAACTTCCTTAAATATTCAGTGATAGATTATAATCTTACTTGGCTTGCTATGTCCATTGCCAGAAGTGCCTGCTATGGAATTTAATAAAATGTTAATTTATTAAGATGTTTCTTTTTAATTAATTAACAGTTCAAACAAATATTTATAATTCATATTTGTCAGTACGACCTCTTTTTCTATAACATATAGTTAATCTTATTGAAGCTGTAATTATTTATTTTGTTTATCAAAAATAAAATGATCAATTTTGACTAATTTTGTTGATTTTTTTTTTTTAATATTGTTGTCCTTCTTTTTATTTTTATAGATAAAGAATTTCTGTTTTTTAGGCTTTTTCTTGAAAATGTTTTTAAATTATAATAAAAACTGTAATTCTATTTAACCCTTTAGTGCACCACTGGGCAAAACTTGCTTATGGTAAACAGTAGGGAGTATTGGAAGGTCTGTTCATCTGGGTACCTTTTCGCTATGCTATTTGGATTGTTGTGGACAAGTCACAAATAGCATAGTTTTTATCAGGTTTCACTATGATTCATGTTTTTTGTTGATTTACACTTAGATCACTTTATTATGTCAAAGTGAGTATTTTTGTTTTTATCACATGAAATTATTCATTATATGAAACTGTTGGAGCTGAATTTTACTAATTACTATACACATTTTGTTTAGAGAAAGAAGATATTTTTCCCCTGATGATTTTCTGATGTTTTCTGAAGAGCAACCAGAGCCCGCAGAATTGGAATTTATCTGGGACAAAATTCAAGGCCATCACTTTTCTCGCGAAAGGGACATGAAGGAGACAACAAAACCTTAAGTTTATTATACTTTATAGGTTCAAAGAATAGGACCACACATAATAAATATATAAAAATTGAGGTTTTTATGAAAAAATGGGAAAAATCAGTTGGTCAATAAAGTGCATCAGCTCGCAGGCAAGATTTAATCAACATGTTGATTCAAGGGTTAAAACACTTTCAACAAAAAGCCTACAAGAAAGAAATTTTTCATCTAATCGTTTATGCATTAAACACAATGAAATGTATTTAAAATTTAATTAGTAATGGGTTTTATGAACAGTAATTATTTTTGTAAATGAACGAGTTGTGGTGAGGTTCACGAGGTGATAAATCTTTAGTTTGATCGTACCTAATTGTCCAGGTCGATCAGCTCTTTTGTTAGGACAGTATGATCAGATATAATAAACCCTTAATAGTGATTTTGTATACATCCGAATGGAAATAGGATATTTTAAATTAAGTCAAAAAGTTTTCTGTTAAAAAAAGATGACATTGGCATAAGAAAATTTCAACTTTTTGACATAAAACCAGTAAAAATGAAAGATTCATTAGTTTAAAAGGGTAGATGAAAATTTATGTTTACTAAATAATGTTTTAAAAATACATTTAGGGAAGTCAGTGGAAGTAAAGTGTTAAAGCATTAACATGGCGACTGATTATTGTAAAGGTCCTGCGTTCAAATCCAGTGGCCCTGAATTCAAACCCAGCCTACTTACAAATGGAATTTTTTCAAAAACGCCAGAACCCTGGTATTTAGTTGAAATAGCTCCGTTTAAAAAATAAACAAAATTGTCTGTTTAACCTAGCCTGCAATATTTATTGTTTAGTTTTATATAAAAAAATTAAAAACAAATTGGGTATTAAATATGATTAGAAATGTAAACCCTATCATCATCTATGCTAAAGGTCAATTATTATTAATTCATTAACATGGAATTTGTGAAGAGTTACCTGTTCCGTCCACTTCTGTAGAGTCTTGTGCCCGAACAGGTCTTGAAATGCTTTTTCTCTTGGAAGGCGAGTGTTTTAAGGCTGAAAATAATAAAGTCAATTTAAAAAACAGAGTAGTGACAGGTTTTTTTTTTTATTTAGTAAAGTACAAAAGATCCCTGAATAAGCCACCCTTCAATATATGTGTGTAAAACTTCATGCTAACAATCTACCATGTGAACACATGTGAACAACTCACAACATGCACACAACACTGAAAGCATTAGAAACATAAATATTAGAACGGTTGAATAAATCCTACTGTTATAGTATGTAAACCGCCCAAAAAAAAAGTAATAATAATAATAGTAATAATAAAATAACATAATGAAATAAAAATTGGAATATGTGCCAGTTATAATGTATTATAATAAAAAATAGAATAATCTTTTGTTTAAATTAGAGTTGCCTTAGAGGCAGTTAAAAAAGTAAGGATTTTGATGGGTTTTTCTTTATTGTATTAGAAAAATTACATTTAAAAAAATGTCTAGTTATTTAAAAGCAAAAGAAAATCAATTAGTTAAAAGCATTAGTGATATTTCAAAGCAAAATAAATGTTTATTATTATCCATAAAAGTGTCATCAATAAAATATTCCAATAAAATATTCCCATAAAATAAAACAAAATAAAATGACTTAAATGATCCAAGTAATGTTTTATCCAATTGCGTGCATTTGTTGAAACTTTGTGTTTACCTATATAACTTGTGACGAGCGTCCTAAATTTTCTATGGTTTCCTTTTATTTCGGGCAAGTCCACTTGGAAGAGAAAATACAAATGTTTTAACAATTTTGTCAAAGCAGTTCTCAATTTGAAAAAGAAAATTTATGCAATAACACATCATTCTGACAGTGGATGCAAATAAAAATCCATCAGGAGATCGTTTAATTTACAATGAGTTTGCTGACATAACATTTTTGGCCCCTTTTTCTTACAAAAATAACACGACAACTAGAGAGTTTAAAATGGAATTAAAACAGAAAGTATAACATTTAAAAAAATCAAACTTTCAGCCCCTTTTATGAAATCGTCAGTTAAATCAATATATCATTATAAACATTGATATTTGACCAAATCATGCAAAACAACTCAAGGACCTTTTTATTTTTTATCCACAAAAATCCCATCTTACTCATTCTAAAACAAAGGTTCTTGAGAATAAACCAAAACAAATAAGTTTGTACTGTATTAGCACAAGGATTGAACTAATAATTCTATTCAATGATGAGATATCTAAAAGATAACTGACAGTCGGTATATGTAGTAAGTGTATATATTAAAAGAGAAAATAATGCAAAAACACTATGTATAAGATGAATTTTAGGGACCAGGATTATGCGTGAAAACATTCTCCCGAGCAAACATCAAAGACAGTGATCAAAGCTGGTAAGTCATTCAATACCATACCACTTTGATTTTATATAATTAGATATACATGTGCATTTTTTATTAATCAATAAAACAACAATTTTACATTCACAGTTTTTTCCCCTATATCCCAGATGAACATCATTCACTAATTAGAAAATGAGAATCATGCATTAATTTTACCTTTTAGATATAGCCCACAGAGATGAGAACAAGATAATTTTTTAAACTTTACCAAAACCAAGGAAAAATGAAAAAAAAAACTTTGTAGATCTATGATGTCGCCTACTTCCTTTAAATGTACAAAATTACAAAATTATGGGAGCTACTTACATAAAAAAATGTGTATTATGTTTACATTAATATAAACTGTCAGTGAAGTTCTAATTGCATTATTTATTAAAAATTTGATAATGTTAAAAAACTCTTTAAAGTTAGTAATTGTAAGAAAAGAAATAGTGGACAACTACGAGCCGGAATTTAAACTTCTACTAGCTAAAAATCCAATTTGTAAAAACAAAAACTGTCAGTTTGTCTAATAATGTTAAGTACAAAGGGTAAAACAATGAATTTGGTTTAATGGGTCAGTCGACTGCAGCAATGTCGATCAAAGTTTTTGAAACTGTTAATTGCAAAATAGATCCAAGAAAATTTGGCAATTATTGTTCGTCGAGTTCCAACCAATTGCTCAACAATAAATCAATGACATAACTGCAGTTGCACAATCACCCCGGGATGATGGAAAAAAGACAGAGGAAAACTCAAGATCACAATTAAACTGAACTTCTACTTTTCTAAATAAAACCATTAATTATGTTAACATTCAGCATTTTAGTACTTTGGATGTGCAAATGACAATTTTAATAAAACTACTAAGGGTCTAATTGTATAACAAGTCCTTCTCAAATATTTTTAAAGTTTGATAAATAGGGCCGGATTTAAACAACAATAAAAATAAGGGCAAGACATTTACTTTCCTTTTCTTGTAGCGAACATTTTGTAAAAAACCAAAATATTTTCAAGACAAACATAAAAAATTCAAACTAAAAATTATGAGAAAGTATATTCTGGACTCCAACTGTTCAAAACAATAACAATTTAAAAATTATTTTATTATATATTTTCCTAGTAAAATTTATATGTCTCAAAATCAGCCTAATTAATGGACTCCATGAACTACATCTGCATTTAATTTCTTTCTTAAAAAATAACATTAAAAGTTTTCAATTATTTATTTTCATAAACAATCATTTTAAGTTTTTATGTATTTCAAATAAGCATAATGATGTATGGACATTATTGATGTGAAATATCCCCTGCCCAAGGTAGAACACCCTGAAAATTAATTCTTTTATGTTATTAGTTTTTTTTTCTCTCTCAAAGTTAAATTTCTTTAACTTTCATTTACTATACATGAAATATGAAAATATATTTCCATATTTGCAATTTATAGGGCCAATATGAAGTATAATAATATTCTTTTCTTGTGTCTAGGGCCTATTTACAATTCAGAAAAACAAGGTCCATTATATATACAAAGCGAATTTTATTATGATTGTAATAAAACTCACGGGATGGTATTTTCTTGAAAACTGTAGTTGCCATGAAGTCTTGAAACCTCTGTGCATAGAAACCTGGCCTATGGACTGAGACTGAATCCTTTTAAAAACAAAATTAATTAATTTGATTGTAAAACAGCATTGTGTATTAAATTTTAAAAAAGTACCCCATCATGTAAAATTGATTTCCAGGTGTGCTCCAGCTTTTTCTTCAACCTGTAGCTCTGAAGGATATCGATAATACCTAGATAAAGAAGAAGACGTTCGCCCTTTGCATTTCTTGCTGGAATACCACCAGGACTGGGGAAATAAATTGACATTCAGTCGAAATCAGCTTGGCAATTTGTATTAAAAATACTAACGGGACGTCGCCTTGGTGGTCTATAGGTTGGCTCTCAGCCTGTATACTCTCCATTGCTGTGGAATGTGCTACCAGTCTGTGTCTATTAATGGACCTCGCCCTTTGGAGTCCTCGCTGCTCGCTTTCTGCCGGTTCTTGTTCTGCTAAATCCTATGTTATCGAATGACGAAATTAAAAACAAATGATGTAATTAATCATGAAAATTAACAATCAAGAGAGAGACACTCACCTTACTTCTATCACGAGATTCTTGATCTAAATTATGTACACCAACAAGTAAACTGTAATCCATTATTTTAAAACTTTCTAGCACCTGGAATTTAAAAACTGTATTAATATAAGGTTTTTAAAAAAATTGTTTGGAGAGTTTATAATAGGACAACACTCACCCGACAATCCCTTTGGATCGTTTTTACAAGAGCAGTGTATGTGTCTGCTTCCAGAAATATTCCTTCGGGGTGGTGATCCATGAAGTCTAAATCTTTATAAGTCGGAGATTTTTTATTTCTTTCAGACTTAGATGCCTGGAGGAGAAAAAAGACAAGTTAAAAAAAGGTTCATTTTACAATTTAAAAACATTACTTTTCTCTTGTATGTAGAACCCTTCAGATCATACTTTTGGTGCATGGGTATTGAAGATGGCAGTAAGTTGTTCATAGCAGCTATTCGAATGTTTTTATGGTTACACTAAAAGCAGTTTTATATTGAAAATTTTTACATAGCAAAAATGTAAAAGTTCCTTGTAAAATATAAATAACATACTTGATAACAATAAAGTCCAAAAAACTTTGGTAATAATGTCCTAGGATTTTGGTTTAAATTCTGAAAATATAACAAGACATAATATTAAATAATATATGGATTGATAATAATGTTTATATTTGTTCAACTAATCAAATTGCTTTCCACTTTTATTCAATATTGAAACAGAAATGAGATAATCTTGATTAAACTAATACTGTTTTAATCGACAATGTGATCAATGTCAAAGATAAAAACAATGATTTCATGAGATTACAATGGTGTATGAATAAAGGAAAGTAATCCCATTATTCTAGGTTTTTTACCAAAAATAATCTATCACTGTTTACAATTAAATTTTTAAATTTACCATGTAATATCCAGGAAGTAATTTTTGCAAAAACTCCCCTTCTTTATGCTGAACTGTCTTTATAATAAACTCATCATCAGCGGTAAGGTAGAAAATAGAACCAGAAGCACCAGGATTTGACAATTCTCTAAGAGGTGAACTACAGAATGATATCTGCAAAGGAAAAAACAAAACAAAAATTGATATTTCATAAATTCGAAATGAAACACTTTTGATTTCACGACTTACCAAAAAATCATCTGGCTGAATTCCAAATAGATCCCTAAAATAGCGGAAAGCAATCGGTGCGTAAGTCTTGAAAGTGAACTCTGAATAGTGATGGGCTGGCGTTTGACTGCTGCCATCAGCAGCAAACGTTGTTGTCTCCACTGTCATGAAGTCCTGCATTAGCAAGTCACGTTCCGGCTTTGACGCCAATCCACCGACAGCATGCTGAATTCCGAGTTGAATCGATCCCATGATTTGAGTTGTTTGGATCTGTAAAGTGTTGTTGTGTATTTTGAAAAAAATTGGTTAAAGTGGTTAAAATTGGTTAAAAGTGAGGACCACCTCTGATTGACTACATCACACGGTGTATCAAATCATTGCTGGATTTCTAAAATCCCATTTATACAAACACCTATTTAGCCAAACATAATGAACCACATAAGGAACAAATAAAGATTTTAGAAAAAGATCAATTGAACAAAACATATTATTACTTGTCCTTCCTAATTCCTTTAATCATAAATTTTCAATTAAGAAAGAAGAAGATATTAAGATTAAATATTGAAACTAACTGAGTTCACTTAAGGTTCAAATTTAGGTTTTGGTAATGAACTACTAAAGAGTCTACTATTTGGTTGAGATAATTATCATTCCTAATCAACCATCTATAAATAACAGCAGTTTCCCTTTTTCCCTAATGTTAATTTAACAAAAATTTAGTTTCAAACTTTCTATCACTAATAAAAGAAAAACATTTAATAAAATAATAATAAAATGGGAAATTTATGGGCCGACAAACAGCTAAGGTCATCACCGGTCCTCTCCATATTTTCCTTCTTTTTCTCTTCTTTCACGCATATTTTGTTTTAAACTGCAGCCATTTGAGCGTCTCGTTCTGGTTACTGACTCTCTGATTTCAAATATATACTACGTTGATATCCTAGAATGTTAGTCTCTCATTTTTACCTCTGGTTGTCAAATACAGAATAGAAACAAAACATACAGTACATATGTATACATCACCACAAACATGGATGTCTGGTCACATTCACTCCCCTAGAGTACTCAATATTCTTCAGGGCGGCGTCGAAACCTCTCCACTCTTGTTAATAACTTACTTTTACTCTCCAAGAGTCACACACTCACCCCAGAGTACTCGATATTCCTCGGGGCGGGGTTATAAGCAACCCCTTCCTTTCACGCTAATAAATTACTTTTACTCTCAAGACGTCATACACTCACCCCAGAGTACTCGATATTCCTCGGGGCGGGGTTATAAGCAACCCCTTCCTTTCACGCTAATAAATTACATTCATTACAATAAATTACCACAAACACAACACTCGAAAGAAACAGACGTCTGATCACATTCACTCCCCCAGAGTACTCAATATTCCTCGGGGCAGGGTTGAACCCAATCCACTCTCACTAATAACTTACTTTTACTCTCCACACGTCACACACTCACCCCAGAGTACTCGATATTCCTCGGGGATGGTTAAATCACCCCTTCCTTTCATGCTAAAAAAATTCCATTCATTCCAATAAATTAACATAAAGTTAAACACAGACACAACACAAACACATAAAACTATATGTATTTAAAAATCCCTATAGCCCTGAGGCACCAGAACAGCGATCTGTGCCTGCTGCCGTGCCCCAAGGCTACGCACAGGTCCGATGATATGCCAAAATATTGTCTATATACATCACGCCTTCTACAATTGCTAGGTGTTTGAACGTTATTATATCCTTACATAACGGGCACCTATGCAATCGCTTTCTGGCCAGAAGGTGCCCGTGCGTTATTCTTGTATGACCTATGTGTAGTCTTGTCAGTATGGCCTTTTCCCTTTTCGAACCATTCTGCATGGACCAGGGATCGACTTCTTTCTTAACCTGCCATAGTTTGGCAGAGTTATTTCTATTTCTTCGAGCCCAGCTGTTTTCCCATTCTCTTTTTACAGTTTGAAATTAGTAGTTTTAGGTCCACTGGGCGTATAGGTTGGGAAGCGTTATGGGGCCTTCCAGCGGCTACTTTGGCCGCCCTGTCTGCTTCTTCGTTCCCGTCTATCCCTATGTGGCCAGGAACCCATGCCAACACGACCTTCTTCCCAACTGCATTGATCCCCTTTAACTGTTCTTTTATCCCGTTTATTAGGGGGTCCACGGAGGCTCTTCTCCTGAGCTTCTGGAACGCACTGAGCGAATCGGTACATAACAAAAAAGAGTTGTCATTTTTACTTTTGATCATGCTCAGTACGAGGGATATGGCGTTTGGTTCCACCATGTACGCTTGCAGCCGGAGGGAGCGATAATTGTTTAAAATCTCCCTCTCATTTAATAAAAATTATCAAAAAAATTTCCATTTAAGCCTGTTAATTGATACTTAAAAAGAAGTTTAAAAAATAATAAAATATTCTATATACAAATATGCAAAAAACTAATATTCTAATTATTTATACATTATATGTCAACAAGGCATTGTACATTGATAGATATCTACTTAACAATTATATACTTAACTTATATACAAATTCCTATAATTTACCTTTTTATAAGTGACCTCTCCCCCTGTTCCAACTCTTCGATGGCCAAGTTTCTTCTCTCTCTCAGATTTATGCCTTGCCATCGCACCATTTTGACGAGACAGTGAACCCTGAAATGAAAAATCAATTCTTTCTTTTAATCTTATACTAAAAAAATATCTTTTTATTAACGAATAAAAGACAATTTTTTCCTTATTTTCACACTGTCAATTGTATTCTAAGTGAAATTAATATTCATCAACAAATTTCATGCAGTACATTTTTTGTCTTAATTGCACATGCACTACCTGAAAACAAATATTTGTTTTTATTCAACTTATGTTTTCTTTATACTCGTATCAATTTCAATGTCTTCAAGCTCTATTATATCAACTAAACATTTTAGTGGAGGTTTTAACTGCAGAAATGAATGTTACAGGGAATTAGCATAATTTCTCACTCTCTTCTAATAAGTTATAAGATTTTTGGCTTTATCTTTGGATCCATAATGGTTTCAATTAGTCTGACAAAGTATCTCTTCCTGTTTTCCAAAAAGAGACATGCAATAAAAATTTGATAGGAGCAATTTTCATTATGCCAACTGGCACATTTCATTCATATTCATTAAAATTGTTTGTGTCAATTTTTCAACAAGAAATGCAGTTAATGTACTTATTAGCTATAATATATCATGAAAAAAATCTTAATTGTTGAACTTACATCTTTCTTTCCAAAATCATCACCTCCGTCTTCATCTGGAAAAATTAATAAAAACTGCGTAAATTTTATGTTAAAAAATTTGAACTATATATTTCAAAAGAATTATATCAACATGTGAAAATTACCGTCTATAGGTTGAACACTAAATTTTCTAATGATATACATGTGGGTCAATTTTTAAATTGCGTTGTACGACTTAATTAAGAATATTCTGACTAAAGGTGGAAAAATGTGCATGCCCTTGGAGATAAGAACAATGTCCTTGTTATCTAGAGTTTGATGAGTATTCTGTTTGTTCGCTTTTTGTCTTCTTTTTTTTATAAATTCAGTGCATATTTGTTCGGGCTAAGTGCCGTTTTAGAAATTCCAAAAGAAATGCGAATCTATTATTTTACTTATTTTTTAGTTGATTATCTTTATTATTACAATTGATTGAATTGTAATGTTGCTAGTTGGTAATAGAATACTTTCTCCATTAATAAATTTGGGTAAGATTTATTATTCATGCTTTATCGCTTTATAACTGAGTGAAAAAATCTGAGAGCTTCAATGAAACAAGAATAGGCAAAAATGACCATGAATTAATTAAAAATAATCATTTTTTATTTTTAACGAACAATCTGTCACATATAAAACTAAGTTTATGTAATTATTTATTGTTATATTAACAGCACAACAAAATGCAATGTTATCACGACAAAAATTATATGAAATATTTTATATAATTAAATATTTTATTCAGTCTAGACTCTAACGAATGTATATACGACAGGTATACATTTGCATGTTACACTTTTGTTATGGGAGTAGTCCAGAATGACCCAATTCCCATACTTTGGGAGCGACATTACAAATCATTGCTGTAACGAATGTGTTAAATGTCAATCTGTTTATTCTCAGAAATCTGTTCTCTGGGCCAAACTTTGCAATCCCATGACCTCAAAAAGTTTATGAAAGTTTAGAGATCAAACACTGACACCAACAGAAATAGAAAAACAATGTTAATCCATTTGGTGTGTGCATGTATGTGGCAAAGATACATAAGAAGATACAAAATTGATTGTGAACAAGAAGTGAACACTGGTGACATTACAATTAATAAAACCGAATCAATCAGGTAATATATGTATGCACATACATAATGTATTCTGATGAGAAAGTTACAAGTACAAAGTATCATTGGATTTTCAAAAGTCTGATCTCAGTGCCTAACATCAACCTATCACTCAAAACAATTGTGAACTGTGACGGTAATTTATGTATACTTGAGCGTTTGTATCATATGTATATGCTATAGGTATAAGTTTTCTGTATTTAGTGCCAATCTGATCATTCTCATTAGTCTGTTTTGGATATGGCAAGGAATTAAAACCAATTGTACAATAAAATAATTCCTGTCATTCAGAAGGGGTTTAAGGTCGAACTACCCTTTGGGGGTCAAATGCAAAGAAGTCCATATCCATTGATCCATATATGTTTAGCAGTCATAATTGACTATATAATTATGTTAATTGATTATACTTTTTATTTAAGGTCTTTGGTTGAGATGAAAAAATTAGTGTCACGAGCGTGATTCAAACCCTCGATCTTCTGTTCAATTCACCACCAAATCCCCATCTGAACCTGCAACCTTTGCAATTTTCCCTCTTTTTGCCATATTTTCAAATATTGTGTAATCAGGATTCGATTTTCAGCAACTTTTGATGTGGCCACAGGGAGCTGTTAGTGAAGTAAGTACTTCTGTAATTATTATTATTCGGGAAATCATGAGATGTGGTCAGGTGTGACATAGGTTGTAGAAAAACATTTTCTTTATCGTGCCAACGTTATCGTGTTTTCTGCATAATTGTGCCACTCTCAACAAGACACACAGGAATGGCACAATTACGCAGAAAACAGACACTTTGAGCCCTGAAGATGATATCAATAAAAATCAAAACCACACTCACGATTTCCGAAAAATCATTGACTAATGGTCACTAATCCCACACATGAAATTATTATATTATTCCATATGTTTAGTAGTCATAAATGACCGGCAACTTTATAACTTGTGACACTAACTTTTTCATCTTAACCAAAGACCTTAGACAAAAAGTGTAAATAGTTAAAATAATTATTCACAATTACAACTTCATAGGCTATGCCAGATTTGAACCCAGTACCGTGTGGCAGTTAGGAGTCATACACCCTAACCCAGTGATTCCCTAACTGTTCACCACGGCACCCCAGGGTGCCATGAAAATTTTCTATAAAAAATAATATTATATTTATAAAAACAAAATAAAACTTATAAATTATATTTTTTTAAAAATTATATTTATAAAACTTAACTCCCTTTATAAAACCCTAAAATTTAAGACCTTGGTGGCTATCCAATCTCAATATGGATGTTAACGAGACAGCTGCAATTGTGCATTTTATATTATTGCTCAAGAAAAGTATTCACTTTTATATTTTTGTTATTAAGTGTGTAATCGCTTTTCAAAAGGCAAGTTTTTTAATTTCATAAGAAAATCAGTAGTTTTGATTATTTATTAAATAAAATTAGAGACAAAATTAGAGGTTTAGATGTACCATTTTCTTACTATTACTGTAATTAATTACTACTATTATTGTAAAGTTATCGCTGAGTTAGACCATTGTTTTGACTTGGGGTGCTGCGAAAAATTTTGATATATTAAGGGTGCCAGAAACAGAAAGAGTTTGGGAACCGCTGAACCACTCAGTCATTGTGGTCCCCAAAACCAATAGTTAGCAAGCAATAAGCTCAAACACTAGCACATCTTTAAATTACAAAAATCGGTTCAATGGCAGCTCACACAATGGCAAAGTCACAATTAACAACATTAAACTCAAACAAACAACTGTAATGTATGTAATACTTGTGCGACCATATTGTTTGTGTACACCATAGATGTAAGTTTTATAGTAAGTGACAATCTGTTCATTCTCAGAAAACTGTTCTCTGTGCCAAACTTTGCAATTATGAATCAGAATAAATAAAGCAATGTTTATCTATTGTGAGTGGTTGTATGTGTAAATGTGGCACAGATACGAAACTAATTGTAAAGTAAAATAATTCCTGTCATTCGTAAGGGGTTAAGGTCCAACCATTGGGTGTCAAGGACGAGGTGTCAAACAAGTTCACAATACTATCTCCGTATTATTCACAATTAAAAATTCATGGACTAGGCCAAATTCAAGCCCAAGACGGCTAGCATGGTAAATACGAGTAGGACACCATAACAACCCAGGCACTGCAGTCCCAAAACCAACTATGAACAAGCAATAATTGAATATTTTAAAAAAATATATTTATTTGCATTGTATAAATTCACTTTTTTTTTCACATCTTTCATGTTTTTGTTAAATTTAAACAACGTTTGTAAATCCCAGGCCCTGAACATGATCTCAATAAAGATCAAAACATTGGCACGATGAAGAAAATGTTTTTCTGAAACCTACATCACACAGACTGCATCTCACAATTTCTGAACAATCATCGACAAACGGTCACTAATCACCACACACAAGCAAAAATCTCAAACACTGGCATCTTTAAAACTAATAAAATTGCAACAATCAGTTCATGAATGCACATACATAATGTATTCCCATGAGAAAGATAGGATGTTTTGAAGTGTCAAGCGACAGTTTTTTCTTCTCAGAAGTCTAATCTCAGTTTTAACTTCAACTTCAATTGTATGACTTCAAAACCAGTTATGAACAATCACACAAGATTAAAATCACACAAACAACTGTAATGTACATATACTTTTTCATCCGTATTACAAGTATATGCTATATGTATAAGTTTTCTGTATTAAGTGCCAATCTGTATATTCTCAGAATTCTGCCCTCTTCACCAAACTTTGAATGGCAAAAATACAAAACCAATTATGAAAAATAGCACTACGCTCAAACACTAGCAGCAAGTAATAACTGCAATAATTGTTTCATATATGTATGCACATACATTATTAATTTATATGCGAAAGATATAAGGGGTTTTGAAGTGTCATGTTTTTTCTTCTCAGAAGTCTAATTTCAGTGCATAACTTCAACCTCAATCTTCCTTGACTCAAAAACAAAAAAGTGAACCGTTACAAAGATCAAATAATCACAAAATTAAACTCACACAAATAACTTTAATGTATGTATACTTGTGCGTCCATATTATATGCTGTAGGGATAAGTTCTATGTAGTTAGTGCCAAAGTGGATGTATGTATGAATATGGCACAGATACAAAACCAATTGTGAAGAAAAGAAATTCCTGTCATACAGGAGAGGGCTTTATGTCCAATTACCCGTTGGGTGTCACACAGAAGAGGTGCCAAACAATTTCACAATACTTTTTTTCAATATCATTCACAATTAAAAATTCATAGGCTAAGCTGGTATTTGAACCCAGGACTGCAAGCGCTAACCACTTGGCCATACCCAAAATGAATTGTGAAGCAGTAAGCTCAAACAATGGCAACTTTACAAATAATCTATTAGGTTTTGTGGTCCGATTGATCAAATAAATTCTTTTCAACTAATTAATATTTTACAAATAAAATATATGTGTGCACATACATAATGTATTATTATTAAAAATGTATGTTTTGAAGTGTCTATTGATTCTCAAAAGCTTGATCTCAGTGCTTAAATTCAACCTCAATCTTACTTGACTTCAAAAAAACAATTGTGACTGGTTGTAAAGATCAAACAATGACAAGATTAAACTCACACAAATAACTTGAATGTATGTATACTTGTGCGACCATATGTATATGCTGATGAGATGTTTTTTTATATCAAGATCCCGCTCATGACACTAACTTTTTCATAGTTTCAAGGGAAAATTTGAAAAATTGTACATTCATGTGAAGAGTTGGTGTCCGAGTGGCACGTGTAAGCACTGAGTACAGGCTATGGTGAATTAATAGGAACTTCAAATTGTAAATCCGTATATGTTTCGCAGTCATAATTGACCATATTAATTATTTCAATTAATTATTATTTTAATCTAGTCTTGGTTGAGATGAAAAAGTTGTGTCACGAGCAGGATTCGAACCCACGACCTTCGACTCAATACATCGCTCTAACCACTTTGGGCTATTTCGACTTCTGGTTTGAGAAGCAGTGTATTGACCCAAAGACCGTGAGTTCGAATCCCGCTCAAGACACTTGCTTTTTCAACTCAACCAAGATAGTAGATAAAACGAATAATTAATATGGACAATAATGACTATAAACATATATGGATTAATACAATAATTAAAGATTATTTGCAGATTGTGAGATGCGGTCTGGTGTGAGGGAAGGTTTTAGAAAAACATTTTCTTTAATCTACGTCACACCAGACCGAATCTCACAATCTCCAAATAATCATAACTAACAGCCACTAAACACCACACAATAATTAGAGAAGTAATCACTTTGCTAACAGCTCCCTGTGGCCATTACATAAGTCGCTGAGAATCGAATTCTAATTACACGATATATGAAAATATGGCAAAAAGAAGGACAATTCGAAGGTTGAGATGAGGAGTTAGTGTTCGAGGGTAGCAAAGTCACAACAGCTCAAGTGGTTAGAGGCTTAGAGCAGTGCGCATCAAGGCCTTAGAAAGAATAATTAAATGTAATAATTAATATGGTCAATTATGACCACCAAACATATATGGATTTACAATTTGTAGTGTCTATTAATTCAGAAAAGCTGATCTCAGTGTTTAACTTCAACCTCAATCGTCTGACTTCAAAATCAATTGTGAACAATCACAAAAGATTAAAATTAAAGAAACAACTTGTACTTAATACATGTGCAACTATCGCACATATATACGGTAGGTTTAAGTGTTCTTTTTCAAGCGTAATCTCCATGCCAAAGTCTGACCGTAACTCCATGACCTCAAAAGCGATTAAGCACAAGAACAGAAATCAAACAACGTTAAAATTAAAAATACAATTTGTCTGTATGTATGTTGGTACATAACATGTATAAGAAAATGGTCTAAGGTGTTTTTAAGGGCCAAAGATCCAGTGTAATACTTTTCAACTGTTTACATATTCAACATGAAAATACTTTTAATTAACCTATTTCTTTAGAATCATTTGTTAATTAATGTTTAGATTTTATTAGGCAGAGCGTTTTTATCATTTTATTTGGGTGTAAAAGAGAAACTCAATTCGGGGGAGGGGGATGATTTCATGATTATTTTGAAAGGGGATTTGACAATGAGTTTTAATAAGCAATACTTTCTAACTTTAAATATTTTGAATTCGATCAATATTTGTTTTGAATTGTTAAGTATATTAGTTTTTTTCTTTTTTAACCGATGTAATTTTTAAGGGAGTTATTGGGATAAAGGAAATAAAAAGGATCCGTAGGTTTTCTTTGTCGAGGCAATTTATATTCTTTATAGCTTTTATCGTTTGGTGAAATAAAATCTATGGTTGGGGTGGAAAATTAAAAAAATTAGTGGTTTTTTTTTTTAAGATTGTCGAGTTGGTGGGTGTGCCTCGAAGGACGGGTGGTCGGTCGGCATTGGATTCTCGTTGAAAAGGTCGTCTGTTAATCCTACCTCCTCGAATGCTGTCGTCGTCTTTGTAGTTGGAAGCGGTCCCTTCCGTTTTCATTTTGTTGAATGTGTCGATCACTTGTATTTCGTCTACGCCGTCTCCAGAGGCCATTTTTCAGGCATAAGTTTCGCGAAGGACAGCTAGACAGGGGCTAAGTGACAGCCTCGTCCTCTCACATCATACGGGCCCGGTCCGACTCGCCTCCTTTGAACTTGACGGAACGGAATCGGCCGCTGAACGAGACTACTTTGCTCATAACGCGAAACGTCAAATTCATGGAAAATATGTGTCAACCATCCATTCCTCCTACCCTACCAACTCTTTACTGCCTTCTCGATTTCACTTCATATTGATCCTAACAGCTGGACGGGCAATAAATAACTCAACACTCATAGATAATTCCCCCATAAGATTTTCAACGGATAATTCGACGCATTTTTGACCATTAGTTTTCCACTCTGAGCGACGCACGTTTTCCCATTCCGTTCGACAGCAGATTTCCATTTTCCCGAAATTTCATTTTCAACGGACGGGTCCGACCGCTCCACTTCTGTCCCTTCAAACGATTGTACATAATACTAAAATGCACAATTACTAAAAGAAAAGAATCTTATTCAGATCCATGCTTATGCTTCTCATTTGCATAATTAACTAGATGCAATAATAGATGTACTATAACATGACCTTTCATTAATTGACACATTCCGACATACTTGGCCACAACACGTTAGTCCCGTTTGGGACTGCATCAGAGCCCAGCATTTTTTAAGATTACTAAACTTATTGTCAGCTGTTGTTAGACCCATGATAGCCTACGGATCAGTAGTTCGATGGACTAAAACATGCAAAAGGGCGGTCCAGATCCTCGGTACTGGACAGAGAAGCATCACTGAGATAATGAGAACAACCCCTACAGCTGACCAGGAAGTCCTACTGAATCTACCAGTTACCACCACTACACATCTTTATCCGGAACTACAATTCATAGAGTAATGCAGAGGCTCCAATAGCATACTCACATACCAAGGAGCAATTAAAGCTTCAGCTAGGCAGAACTTAGGGGATGACTACCGATGCCACCAAAAAATTTTAATCAGAATACTTGTAGAGTAGACAGGGAAAGATCCCAGTTAATACCGGCCATATCTGGTTTACAGATGGCTCCAAAACCGAATATGGGTCAGGAGTTGGGGCATTTATGGAAATAAACCGAGGATTAGAATTAATATATGGCTTGGACAATATGCCACCGTTTTTCAAGCAGAAACTTTGGTTATTGTACACTGTGCCAGAGTTGGGTATTAGTGACCGTTGGTCGATAATTATTCAGAAATCGTGGGATGCGGTCTGGTGTGATGTAGATTTCAGAAAACATTTTCTTTATCGTGCCAACGTTTAGATCTTTACTGAGATCAGCTTCAGGGCCTGGTATTTACAAATTTGTACCAGACCGCATCTCACGGTTTCTGAATAATTGTATTGAAAGTCCTAATTCTCGCGAGAGGAAAAGCCAGGGTCTGAAGGATACATGGGAGCCCTTCGAAAAGCTTTGGTGTCAGGTAAAAGCTTAACAAGGAGATCTAGATAAAAATGAAGATGCACAATAGACTAATTCTGGTCATAGAGTGCAGGTCGTAAAGAGGTCAGCTCTTAAATAATCTAATCTATCCTAAGATGCATAATTTAGGGTGTATTACACTGCACCATTTAAGAGTTGGTGTATCCTCCGTTCTGTGCCTGTAGCACACCGGTGGGTCCTAGTTCATCAACTTGATTAGTAGGCCTGTTTTCAGTGGTTGAATTTCTTCTATGGTTACATTGTACGTCCCAAAACACTTCCTTTTGAGGGCCAGTTTATTATTTATGCTGTATTTCCTCCGCTTCTTTGCAAAATCTGCACTTGCTATGTAGGGTTATACCAATCTTCTTCAGATGCCCATTTAGTTTTCAGTGTCTTGTTAAGAATCCTGTTGGGATTCACAGTTTTTTGTCCTGCTTCCATTAATATATTCTGTTTCCTCTTTCCTTCCAAAGTTTGTTAGGAGTTTCTTGGATTGTTTGTGACTAATTTCAGTTAAATCGTTTTCTCATTTTCTTTTTATCTTTCTGGCTAAGACTCATTTATAGCGTGAATCCCATGCCACAGAAGGGTTTGGGTCATATCAGTGGTATAGCAGCCCCTCTTCTTGCAAGGGCATCAGTTTCTAGTTGAATACTATTTCTACGTCAGGGACCCAGAATTCCAAATTTGTTTTGCATACCTAGGCTACCACACAATCAAGCATGCTTGAAATTTGCAAAATGAACTAACCGAAGTACAATAATTATATCTACTTTCAACTGTTAATGTTTACATTCCAACAAATGTGCCTAGTGGCAAAACATCATCACACATTCGAGCAACCTTTTCATTTGCAAAATGAGCAAATCTTTGAATACTAGTTAGAATTATATAACATACAATAACAAGTCTAGACATTCGTGTTTAACCTGACAACCTTGACACAAGCTAGGGTAATATGAGTACATGTATCCATCCATTAATAGTATTTTCAGTTTAAAATTTGCAAAATGAACTAACTGGAATAATGTAAAACAATACTTACTTATACTAATTACTTTCATCTATTTGTGGGCACATTTCTACATACTTATTTCCAAAAAATATGCACACATCTAAGCATACTTCATATTTTCAAAACGAACTACTACTGTATGATATACTGTACTAGCATCCTTAATAGATATTCACACAAATCATGTTCGCAAATCTGGAGCTCACAATAAAATATAGAAGCATTTATACTCAATTTTAAAAAACCTACCGTTTAAGTTCCTAGAGTATATCACTCCTGTCATAGAATGCTGTAACATCTAAAAAGTAGTATCTCATAAGAAATGACTTGTGAAGTTTATTATTTTCAAGTCGTTAATTTTGGACTATTTATAAAATGATAGTATCACAATCTTCCTTCGATCCATACTAAAAATACCTATTCAACCCGCACATGCGTAAAATAAACTTTTTTTTTTAAATTGTCTTTATCATTTTCTGGGACAGGTTTGAAATGTTTTTAATTTGTTATTTTTCATGGATTTTTTTACATTTCCTGACTTGTTTTCGTACTTATTATTGTACACACTAAGTGAAGGACTGAGCAAAGTAGTCCCCAGGAAAGTATAAAATTTAACAACTATGTGATCATTCAGTGGTGGGAGTTTGAATTATTAGTTTTACACAGACATGACTAGTCTATATTCTTCTCATACTGTAACTTTCACTGTACGGTAGTCAACCAATGGACAATTAGCGTCTATTTTGAAATCTTTTAATCAAATGGCATAAAAAAAACAACTGAAATTGTCAATTTTCAAGATGTTACTGAATTCCACAATGGTATGAATTATGTGCTGAACACGTTCATACAACCATCAAATAAGATAAAATGCTTTTAAAAAAATTATTGCCCTGCATCTGGGGAAAAAGCCACCAAAATATATTGAAGTAGCTTTAATATCATTAATTTTTGTCTCATTACTAATTTTAGGGTAATAAAAACAACGAAACTGGGAAATAGTTTTTTTTATTTATTTAAAACATTTGTACAAAGGTTAGGCTATGCTACTAGCGTTAGATGCAATCCTTGGCCAGAGATCAGCACATTCTTTAGCAACAGGTCCTGTTATAGCACTGCCTGAAATAAAAAATTCAATTAAAATTTTAAGAACAGGTTTTTTTGTTCTATGTCAAATTAAATGTTTGCACATTTGCTATGAAACAATCAAATAGGAAAATAAAATTCTTATTCAATTAAGCACTACTAGTATGATTAATAGAGAACACAGTGGATAATGTCTACAAAAGAATATTATGTGGCCTACAATTAAATATTATTAATCAAATTAATTAATTAAAATCAGGTAAAATTTTGTAAAAAGAACTTACGAAAAGAATAATAATAAATATATAATTAAAAAGTATACTTGCCTTTCATTTCCCCTTTGTTGTTAACTATTACCCCTGCATTGTCTTCAAAATATATAAAAACACCATCCTTCCTCCTAAACGGTTTTCTCTGTCTTATCACCACCGCAGGCATTACTGTAACAAATAGTTTTTTTTTATAAGCCCTCAAAATAGTGAAATCTTTTCTCATTTATTGTTGTACTGTTTTTCATTTAACAAAATCTTCATGAAAACACGATAGCAATTCTGATGAACAATTTATTAAGTTGTAATAAGGAAAAATATGGGAAGCATATCCATGAATCTAAGTAATAATTTTTGTATTTCATGTCAATATTCCATGGACTTGGGCTCAAAGGGTAAGGACAAAGATGGATTACTGTCACGAGGAGAAATAACAAGAAACATTAACACATTCACAAATAAAATTTCAACAGATCAAGGAAGAATGAAAATTATCACCACACATCATCTTCAAGTTTGAAGCCGCAACATCAATCTATATTAAATAATTTCTGTAAAGCAAAGTTATGCAGGAGAGAAAGTTCTGAGCTACGTCAGAGACAAGACGGAAAGCAATGTAGTGAACTAAAACTTGGGTTAACTCTACTGTAGCATACTTCCAGTATGTCAATGAAATCTACCACTAAATGATCCTAATTCAAATTGGGCCTAGTTTTTTCAAGGGGATGTAACAATTTTTGCTAATCTTCAAAAATAATTGTTGTTTTTTCTTCTTTGAAGAGTTGTAATTTATTTTGAAATTTGTACTTGGTGGGTATGATGAAAGGGCTGGCTGCTTCCACTCACCTTCATACTTGTTCTCTTCAGAACAGTAACCCTATTGTGTACAAATGGATATACTGTAATCAAGAAACCCAACCAATGTCCACAGCAATGCACATTTAACTTGATATCTAATTTGATGGTAAATTGAAACACTGATCAAGAATGTTTTGACAGGCATGAGCACATGAAATTTATGCAGAATTGCTATTTTGGAGGTATCCTATTAGTTAAGGTTAAATCAAAGCTCTTGAGGGAATGTGGTAAGTTTTGACACATTTCATAGATTCACTGGGATTGCAGTGGTGAATGGATAGGACTTCCAACTCTTATTTACACACTAGCATTCAGGATGCGAATACAGGGCAAAGCCCTGGACTTTTATTTAAGAATTTGGAAGGAAACAAAAGTACTCTGGTTCTGACCCCTTTTGTAACACCTGAGTACAAGTTAAGCCCTCTTGTTCGTACCCAGCTATCACCGTGACTTGTGTATCAATGTATGCATTATTGTCTTGAATGGAAATGACAATTAGTTTTAACCATGACCTTTTATGTATCATGTTCTTTTATTTAAAAATTATCATCAATTCAACAGTTTTACAGTTTGGCCAATTGTTCTGAAAGTAGTAGGCAAACCTAATTCACTTAGCTAACTATATTTAGTGTATAATGCCAAATATAGCTGAAAAGATTCCCCTACCTTGATAAACTTGATAATACAAACTCCTCAACAGGTAAATTGGTAATACTAAAAAATTCAGTGTATTTTGATACACTCGACAATATGAAATATTTTTTGGAGAGAGCATTCTATAAATCAAAATGGAGTCACTTTCCCCTTTATAATTTTTTTTCCCTAATATGAGCTTTTTTCAAAATCTAATTTTAGCCACAATTAAATGACCATAATTCTTTATTTAGAGATTAAAAAAAATATATTTTTGGTGTATTGATTTCAATGCTGGTTAAGATAAAAACAAAAATGTTCTATGATGTTAATATGCTAATTTGGTATGATTTTGAAAGATAAATAAAAAAAACTGCTTTTTTTTGCATATTTTAATAAACATTCTGTAAGCAAAGTAGGCCAGAAAATGATCAAAACTTGGTTTGGACATCGGTGTCGCGAATCTAGCATTATAAAACCCTTAAATTGAATCTTTTGCAGAAATCAGTGCAAATTAAAATCTTGACTGATAAGTTTGACGACCTTCTGCATGATTGACAATCCTAGTGCAAGCTCAACATAGTTTTTCTCAATACCAGGAGACAATTTTCATTGTTGATAATTCATTTTAAAGAAAATGTCAAGTGTATTTTATAACTTTAAACATTAATAATTATTCAGAAATTGTGAGATGCAGTCTGGTGTGATGTAAGTTTCAGAAAAACATTTTCTTTAACATGTTTTTCTGAAACCTACATCACACCAGACCGCATCTCACGATTTCTGAATAATTATCGATTAACGGTCACTAATCACCACATAAAATATTAATATTGGACTATTATTTCCATTTAAAATACGAGGTAATTTCTGCCAAAAATGTTTTCTTATTTTATATAAATTTCTTACAGAAATCTTTTATAAATGTTTGTGGTACATACATTGTTAAAAAGTACATTTTCTTCTTTCATTGGTATAAATGATGCCAAAAATCAGAATAATTTTAGGAGTCAAAAAGTGATCATTTTAAATCCAAATAATAATTTATATTTAGGGTCTCTATTAGTGCTAAAACAAAAATTCATATAGCTTCGGGGGGGGGGGGCTAGTTTACTTGAAAAATATTAGGTTTGTAGATATTTTTTTTACTACTGACAAACTTTCTAGCTTTTGCTAAATTTTATTGCAATGTACATAAAAAATGCTGTAAAATGATATATTCACACAGTTGATTTGAGTAAGCGGAGAGGCGAAATAAAAATATTTTAAAAAAGTTAATTTCAAAATCAATTTTTGCTAACAAAATTCAGAAGAAATGGCATTTGTGTCCAATATTTTGGAGCATAAAATTAACAACAAAAGTTTAGTCCTTGACCCACCAAACTGGTCGTCCCCTTGTGTAGGTACTTACTGATAGTGTGAATTCCTATGCTACGGGGTTTCTGCTCTTAATTTCCCTCTACTCTACATGTTCTGGGACCCATATAGAATAACTTTATTTTGCATACCTAAGCTAGTTCAGCTTTTCAATTCAGCACCATCTTTGAGCAAATGATGTTTGGGCTTAGTGATTGTTAAAATGGCTGTCAAGACTATCTGACATGACAGCTTCATTCTTGTTTTTGTACCCCTTGTTCAGACTGAACTTGGTAAATCTCTCAACTGCATGGGCTTCAGTCTGGAAGATACTGGTGAACTTGGGTTCTCAGCATTTGGTTTCAGGAACAAACACTCCCACCCCAGTATTTGAAATCTGATACACATGGCCCCAAGGAATGGCATGAATATAGGATATTTTGAAACAAAATTTCTGTAAATTGTCAGATACAACACTGCAACAGTGCCATAAGGAAGTGCAACTACTGCAACGACAGACACTTAAAGAGACGATCAAACTGTAGTTCACCTTCACAAAACTAAATTTTTAAAAAACGTTTATAAATTGTTAATTTTCAAGAGAGAAGAAATGACGCCTAGATTTTAAGAAAGTACGGTTAAAGGGTTAAGACTGTCCTGTAACGATGGTGACTCACCCTTTTTCCTGAGTTCTGGTTTTCCTTTTTTGACCGTGGCTACGATCATATCTCCAGAACCGGCGGCAGGAAGCCTGTTCAGCCTTCCTTTGATGCCTTGAACGGCGATGACATACAGGTTCTTTGCTCCTGGAATCAAATTTTAGGTTAAGTCAAAGATGACAAACAGATCGGATAAATCTAAAAAAAGCCCACCCGTGTTGTCAGCGCAATTGATGACGGCCCCGACGGGCAGACCGAGCGAAATACGGAACTTGGCTCCTGCGGAACCACCACGTCCTGGAAAAGAATGACCACGTTGTTAGTTTAAACAGATAAAACCGATTTGTACACTTTCAAGTTGGTTTTTTTCAAAAGCGTAATAAAACCGTCTTTACAAAGATAAATAGAGAAACAAATCAGTTTTACATGGTTAGAGGATGATTTAGAATAAATCCTTACCTCTTTTCGACATAGTTAGGCTCGAAACAACAAAGCGACGAGAAGTTCTGTCGAGTCGCAGCGGCCGATGACGGAACAAATTGCCAGTGTTGCAAACACAACATTTTCAATTGTTTAAAAAAAACCTGTTATTTTGTTTTTGTTTTTATGACAAATGGTAAATTAATAAGCAAATAAAAATAGTGGAATAGGAATTTAGAAAAAAAACATCTATGAATTAGAGATATCAAACAGAGTTTTTCCAAAATCAATTTTTTTTTGTAAAAATTTAGTTTCTTTTATTTAAAAAACATAAAGTTTAAAAAATATGTTTTTTAAGAAAAATCAAAACAAAACAGACAGTTATTGCACAAAGAAGAATTCCTGTGAGAAGCTCTCCTCTTACGACAAGTCCGGCAATGTATATAAAAATATCCTCAATCCGGGAAATGTCTCGATAATCAACGAGAAAAATTTAGAAGCGACCGTCATGGGTAAATTGAAACCAGTTCAATTTTTTTAAATTAATTTAATTTTAATAAATCGACGACTACGGGGAGAGTCGGGCCTTAAATTTTTTTCCGGCCCTACATCATGACCTAAAATAGCCAGTGTAACCTTCCGGCTCTTATCTTGAATTTTGGAATTTCGATTCTAAAGAGAGAAAATTTGAGAGAAAACATATTCGCCTTCTACTCCCCGGGGGGCTTGAAATTAAAGAGATGCCTTCAGGTCTAAGCGTTGAAGCCTGGAACTGTGAAGTGGCCGGTAAGGCTGTCAAATTCTATTAAAAACCCTTTTCTTAAGCATATTATATTTTTTGTCATGTTGACAGTTTTGTAAACAATATGTCAAACTAAAAAGAAAGAAAATTTAGCATTAGCAGTAGCTCTCTTTCTCTCTCTATTTATTTATTTATTTATATTTATTACTTTGCAGAAGTTTATCATAACTTATACCAAGAAATAAACACTATAAATGAATACAAATATTTCTCTGTGCTCTATTATAATTGTTTGCACAAAAATATTAAATCAGTTTTGTTCTGCTGTTCTCGAGGAATTGATAAAAATGTTAAATTTTGAAGCTTTGCCCGTCTGGTCTGGAAGTTTTTCGCATTGCAAACATCTTGCTTATTGTTTAATGTTTTTACTCACCGGTGTATAGGGATGGACCCTAACCATCCCCAAACTGGTGTACCTTGGTGGAGTCCTCTGGCCCCATACTTTTATAAATTAACTAATTTATTTATTTATTAAGCATGCTTCATATAAATATTACATGCATTACTGCATGATTATACAAAAACGGTTTTTACATTTTATGTTTCTTAAATAAATTAAAATAAGTATTTTCCTTGTTCATATTTTTAACAAAACTTTAAAATCTTTACAGTATAATAATGGAAACTAAGGTTTTTATAAATCAAGAACACTTGATTAAAATGGCAATATTTGTAACTATGGTTTATCAAAGTCTATTGCCAAAATAAAGTTTTTAAATCCAAGTACTATCATTTGACACCATATCATTCTTTTTAGGTGTGTATACCACCTGTCATCACCTAGAATTTCACCATCTCTCTTCTTTTGTTTTCGAACGAATTTGGTCCCAATTTTGTTAGAGGTGTCGTAAGAGCACACATTGCTTTGTATGATATTGAACTCGCAGAGTGTGATAGGTATGCTAGGTTTAGATTTGAAATCTTTGAAGGAGGAGCGGACATCACCAAATCTCTCCCTAAGATAAAACGGTCCAAAATCTTGGGGTCTGTGAACAAGTCCAAGAGATTTATGCAGGACTCGTGAGCCGATCAAGTCCTGGACCTCTTAGGGATGGGGTACGAGTCTACCAAGGCATTTAACCTCTTGGGTCTTGGTCGCCCACCCTGTGTAATATATATATATTACATTATTTAATTATGATAATTGAACTTGTGGAGGTGTTCTTCCCAAGAATGGGAAATGATCTATGTTGTCTTATAGATGCATAATATAACTTTCGATGCATAATAGTTGGGAAAAAGTCTAAAAAAAGTCAAATTTTGTTCAGCACTGATCCCTGTAATCAATAAATGATTAGCTATCATAAAAATGTGTTGTAGATAGATGTAGATGTAATTTTTTCAGGGTATGGTATACTGCACCCTTTAAGAGCTATTGTATCCCCCGTTCTCTGTCTAAAGCACATCGGTGAGTCCTATTTCATCAAGAAACTTGATTAATAGGCCCGGTTTCAGTGGTTGAAGCTCTTCTATGGTGACATTATACATCCCAAAACATTTCCTCCTGCGGGCTAATGTAGCTCCGCAGTTTGTTAGTAAATGTGTTGGTGTCTCTTCTGCCTCCTTGCAGAATCTACATGTGCCATCTTGGATTGTTCCAATTTTCTTTAGGTGTCCATTTAATCTACAGTGTCCTGTTAGAATTCGCAGTCTGTTCCTGCTTCCTTTGACACATTCTGTGATTTCTTTCTTGCCAAAATTGGTTAGAAGATTCTTGGATTGTCTATGTCCAAAGAGTGAATTCCATTGTTCCTTCATTTTCTTTTTATCCTTCTGTCTGAGATATTTGTTAATAGTGTGGATTCCTATGCCACAGAAAGGTTCGGGTCCTATCAGCGATGTGGCAGCCCCTTTCCTTGCAAGGGTGTCCGCTTTCTCGTTGCCTTCTACTCCCATGTGTCCTGGGACCCAGCAGAGGCTGACTTTATTCTGCGTACCTAGTGTGTTTAATTTGTTTTTGCAGTTCATCTCCATCCTTGAACTAATGATGCTTGAGCTTAGTGCTTTGATGGCTGCTTGAATATCTGACATGATAGCTATATTCTTGTTTTGTACCCTTTACTTAGATTGAATTGGATACATCTTTCAATTGCGTGAAGCTCAGCTTGGAAGATTCTGGTGTGTTTTCCCATGGGTTCTGAGTTTTTGGTTCTGGGTCCAAATACTCCTGCCCACGTACTTTCTTGTGTTCTAGATCCATCTGTGTACCAGAGGATAGTGCCATTTTTAAAGGAGTTATTTCCCTTTCTTTCCCATTCCTTTTTGGTATCCAGATGTATTCGGAATTTTTGGTTAAATTCAAACATCCTGTTCATGTCGTCTCTTGGAGCCATGAGTGTTGGATGGTCTTTCCATAATTTGTTTCTGTCTCTCCATTTCAGTTTTATAGTTGGTTTATAATAGTTGGGAAAAAGTCTTGATTCATTTTGTTCAGCACTGATCCCTGTAATCAATAAATGATTAGCTATCATAAAAATGTGTTTGTATAGCAAGGATGATTGAGAAATACATAGTTGGTTAAAAACCCACAGAATTCGAGGTTTTTGCAATTAACCCTTGAAATTGTGTCTCTTTATGTTTTAAAGTTAAAAAACAGTAAGTTTAAAGCACATTATGTTTTGTTAAAACATGTTCAGTTTTGAAGGTTGAAATCTTTAGGCATTCCTGGTTAGGTTATTTTGGCAATATGTATCTATCAGATGGCATCTAAGCATTAAACAAATCATTAGTATCAAACTTTTTGTGAGATTTCTTCGTGAAGTAGAAGGCAAGGCAGGTCAGAATGATCAGAATCATCTAAATTATAAAAATGTGTGTTTTTTAGTGATCGGTGGTTATAATTGGTTAAAGTCATGAGGAGGGGTCAGGTATAAAGTATTTTAGAAAAACATCTTTTCCATTTTTTTCTGACATTTTGACCTTTATTTGGGTCATAGTCAGAGCATAAAGATATTCTTGTCGTGTCATAATGGTTTTGTATAAAATTCTCAATTTTACCTCAAAATGTTGGCAAAAAATGAAAAAGGATTTTTTAAATACTTTAACAAATTTTTTGTACAAATGATTTATTAAACTATAACAAAAAGCCAAAATTTTTTAATTATTAAACTTTGTTTGTGTGGTATGTGAGAAGTTTTCAAATATTAAACATAAAAATGGACTTGTAGTTTGGTTGTGCTGATCCTAGTCTGCCAACCTACGTTGGTTTGGCCCTTTAACAGGCTAACATTTCCTATTTAGCTATCTTCAATGGTAGGTTGTCATTATGCAATCTTTCATGCGTAATACTTGTTAATTATTTTGATCTTCTCTCATCATCCTAGCTCTCTTCCTGCATGATTTTGACTATTTCATGAATTACATCATGACAAATGGTCTCATTAGTTATATAAACAGTGTCGATCTTTATTGAGATCATCTTTAGGGCCTGGGATTTATAAACATTTTTACAAATACACATAGGATGTGAAAAAATGAATTTATACAATGCTAGAAATTGTAGATTTAAAAAAAAATACATATTATACATATACATACATACATACACACACACACACACACACACACACACACACACACACACACACACACACACACACACANTAATATAACAATAATTTTTTTTATCTAAAATTTTCTAGCATTGTATAAATTCATTTTTTCACATCCTACGTGTATTTGTAAAAATGTTTATAAATCCCAGGCCCTAAAGATGATCTCAATAAAGATCGAAACGTTGGCACAATAAAGAAAATGTTTTTCTAAAACCTACATCACACCATACTGCATCTCATGATCTCCGAATAATCAATATATGAACAGTATAAATTGATGTATATCCTGTCTAACTTTTGGGTGACAGTTTTGAATACTAATTTTTTTTTTTAAATGATGTTTTAGGTCAAGAGCCCTGGCCAGAGGATGCAAAGCTGTTCCAGCCTTACGAAACAGAGCAGATACTTCTGCCTGACAGCGCCAACTGCCTCGCCGTCCAGGCTTTTCTGAAGATGTGTCAGCTTAACTATACAGTCGAATACAAAGTGAATGCTGAAGAAATGTCACCATCAGGTATGGGTTTATCGAGTGTTTTAATGACACTTTTGTGAGTAAATAGACTTATTAATTGTTATCGTGTTGGATTTACAACACAAAATGTTTTAAGCATAAAAATGTTAGGAAGTGAATGTGGAACTTTCAACTATAATATAATTGAATAGGGGAAAAACTCAAATAAACAATCTCTCCATCCATTTCTGTCAAACTTTCCCTTAACACTAGTGTATTTCTTTAGCTTCGTCTTCTCCAGTCATCCTCATCTGCTTAGTTTCATTAGTTTTGCCTATTAGAAATGTTTTGCCATATTGCCAGGACATACAGAAAAACAAACCGACCAACCATGGTTGGGTTGTCAGCCAGATAAAACCATTAGGTACAGGCAGACGAAGATAATCGGAAACAGCCAAACTTCATCTCCTTGCATACCTCAACACAATTAATGTTTCTTTATTTCTTAGTGCTCATTAATTACTTTTCTTAAAATTACTGTTTTAAAGAAAAATGTAAATGCTGTTTTAAATCGAATTATGAGCTGAAAGATTCTTCCTGTTTAAAGAAGCTTATTTAAAGTACTATTTATCTAAGCTTTATGAGGTGGTCATCAAATTCATCTATAATAGAATTTTGCCAATCAATAAATATGTTATGTTGGAATTGCATAATCCTTATAATCATTTAACTTTTTGTTTGCATGGTTTTTGTTTTTTTTAATTCTAGAAACAACTATGTTGGAAAATGTTGTTTGCACTATCAAAAGTTAATGACTAATTTAAATTGAGTTACAACATCTCATATTCCATTTCAGGGAAAGTACCATTCATAAAGTGTGGAGCTTATTTAATTTCTGAATTGGAGTCGATAACAAATTTTGTCGCTAGTAAAGTATGTACTGACAACAATTAATATTCCAAAACAATAACGTAAAATCTTTGTTGGTATGAATTTCAGGGCATTTCGCTAACATCCAACCTAGACGAGTCTCAAAAGGCAGACATGAGGGCTTATATGTCCCTCGTAAACATTGTCCTCGGAAATGCAGAGGTTTTAATTTTTATATACATTTTTTCATAGAATATAACATTTATAATTTTTTTGTAATCTGTTTTTAAGAATTATGTAACCTGGTGTGACAATGAAACATATTTAAAAGTCACTAAGCCTCGTTATGGCTCAGTACATCCTTTTCCCTTGAACCACATCCTTTGCTATCTCAAGAGAAAGAGCATTTTGAAACGTCTTGCAGTTTATGGATGGGCTGATAAGACTTTAGACAAGGTAAATACAAAATCTTAAATTCTAAAGAACCACGTTTTGATTAAATACCAATTTATAGGTTTACGATGAGGTCGACAGAGGTTGTAGTGCGCTTAGTGAACGCCTGGAAAAGTCAAGGTTCTTTTTTGGAGACAAGTAAGTATTTTTGGACACAAGTACTTTTATCTTATCTTTGACCATCCTGGTATGCCTATTTTTGCTAGTTTACCAGGATTTACATATGGGAAAACCCACAAGCAAGGCAGATAATATAGGCAAAATAGGCAGACCAGGGGGATCACAATTTATCAAACTACAGTTCAATCATGCCACCCCAACACAATATTTGTACTAAAGTATTTTTTTTTTTCTTAAAAATAGCTTAAGGTTTTGACAGGTAAAGCTGTGAATATTATTGCGCTTTCTCATACTTGATCCTTAACATGTTTTAACAACCTTTGATTTCTATTTTATTGTATGAATATAAAAATACTTACGAATATAACTTAATTTAATCATAGAGGAATTAATGAGGAATTTGTTAAATCAAGTACAGAAATAATTTAAAAGAAAGCTTGTAACTTTTTTAAAAGGAGTGATATTACTTCTATCTCGAAATTTTAGAAGTTTTATGTATGTATCATCATATTTTCTGCAAGAGTATGAGAAGGCTGAATAAAATGCTAACACAATTAAACAAATACTTTACAAATTGTTAAAACGTGAGAGGATTTTTCAGACCATGCGAAGTCGATGCCACTCTTTTTGCACACGTTTACACGATACTGACTTGGCCGAGCTTCCCAGCCGGCATTCAGCTCGCGGACGTAATTCGAAAGCATATTCACTTGGTGAACCACTGTAAATCCTTGATGCACCTCCTAAACTTGACAGAAGATATCGACAAGCCATCTTACAACAAAATGTACCTAAACCAAGTACTAGGTGACCCAATGCTAGTTTCAGAGGGGAACAACGAATTTGTTTATAGTGAAAACGAAAGTAGGTTTGAAGGCCAGCCCCAAGAGGAGCAGGATTATTCATGTATGATGAACGAGGAAAATCAAATCTATGATGCTCTCTTCAGCAAAAATGAAATCTTCAAACGAGTGCCTGTCAGGTCTTCAAAACTTAATTAATTTTATAATCAGGAATTCATATCATTCTTCAAGTTATATAAAACACCACACACAATTCCGAGACTACAATAAAAAATTATTAACTTATGTCTTTTTAAACTTTTTTCTAACAATTTGAAAAGGTTTATAGTCTTGGGAAACTATTGTTACCTTTAATTTAACAAGTAGGTGTGTATATGTAAAGTGCTCAAAAATGAATAGGGATATTTGTAATTTATTCTTATTATATAAATTTTAATTAAATTACCTGATATATTCTTCTTGTTAGTTGGATAAATCAAAATAGAAAATACAAACCAAAAACAAACAAATGGTGATACTCATTTTCAATAACGGATTTACTTAAGAATAGTAGACACAAAATTACTCATTTTGTAAACAAATACCTTTTCTCATCTTTCTCCATTTTAATGCAGTTGTATTCTCTTGAACCATGGAAAGATCATCTTGAACCAGAATTGGCCTCACATCGTCGTATGCCCCTTTGAGATGATCTGCAGCAACAGCCTGGCACCAACAACTAATGAGATTATGGTGCAGCGAGCACCTAGACTAGAACACCAATTGGCATGCTGTTATGTTTACTGAGAACAGGGGATGCATAGCGTACAGTGCCCCAGTTCATGTTTCAGTGCAGTTTGGAGGAGGCGGTGTAATGGTCTGGGCTAAGATTTACACTGGACTCCGTATTGTTGAAGCCAACCTAACCACAGTCCAATTCCCAAGAATACATCCCTCAAACCAGAGATCTTATTTGCAGGGATTTTTGATTTCTAGATGACAATGTCAAACCTCATAGAGGCAGAGTTGTTCATCAATGTTTAGAAAACCTGGGAATTTCCCATCTGACCATTCCTCCATTGTCTCCAGACTTCAATCCCACTGAGCATGATGCATTGCAGAGAAAGCTTTTCGATCACCATCTGTATCCAGTTGACCTACAACAACTGAGTGCAGCATTGCAATATCTTTGGAGTGAAATTCCTTATCAAATTAGTGACAACCTTATTAACAGTATGCCTAACAGGTGCACAGAGGTTTTAGCTAACAGAAGACATTATACACGGTATTAATTATTTTTAAAAAATTATTGTGTCCATTAAACAAAATTGTGGAATTAAAACCTTTTATTTGGTTATTTTTCAAAAGCTCTTAATTTAAAAAAAAACGTAAAAAACCTAATAATTTCCAATAAATTTTAATGCAATTTATAATAAAAATAAAATAATAAAAAATAAGTTGCCTGGGATGAAATGAGCCAAGAAAAGTTTTCACACAGCAGTAACTAGTTGAGAGTCAACCAAGCAACTAAAACGACCTCGGTGAAACTAGCCTAATAATTCAAACAAATAGTCTGTTAGAGTTGATGGGTGTTTGTCTGCGAATCAATGAACTCATGCTGGTTGACTCTAGGAACACGTTCCATAGTGAATTCAGTTGACTCAACTAGACACTAGAGTTGATCAACCAGCGGGGATGAGAGTGTTAGCAGCATTTGTGCCTGTTGGCCTACCCACCTAGGCTGTGCAGCCTTTAGTGTTTTTTGGAATTTCACCATATTCAGTGGTTTGTCTGCCCATTTCTGTGTATATCCTGGCAACAGACAAACCACTGAGAACAGGCTTCCCAAAAATTAAAAGCTACAGTTGACATCAACATAGTATTTCACAAAATAAATTTTATCATTTTTTATGGTGTAATCAATATAAAAATGAAAAAGTGAATGATTAATAACTTTGTCTTCAGTTACTAAATTTAAAAAGTTTTTTATTATTATTAAATGATAATTAATTAATTTTATTATTAAAAACTTTATAGCATTTAATTTCTCATAAATAGTAATACCCATTTTGCTAAACCTGCTTATTTTAAATCTGTTTGTAATTTTTTAACGTTCTTGTGATTTTTAACATTTTGTTTGTTAATTTCAAATTATTTTACATTAAAAAATACTTATACTCTGCAGCTTTTACTGTTTAATGTATTGAGCAAAAAATTGTGAAACTTCGATTTATCTCTTTGTTTGAATTCAAATTTTCAAAGTGAATGGTCTGTTTAGGCCGACAGAGCTGGACGCTTTGGTGTTCGGGCACGTGTACACAATCCTGGCGACGCCTCTACCAAACAACAGGTTTGCCGCGACGGTTAGGGGATACACAAACCTGCTGGACCACTGCATGCGAATCGAACGACAGCTATTTAACGGCGGCGACGCTGTAGATATTAACCTGAAGGCAAAAGAAATGCAAAAATTGTATGAAGGGTGAAATAAAACACAAATTTGTTGCCATTAATTGAATTATATTGAGACTTTCAGTCTTTTCATTTTGTAGAATTTTCAGTACCTCAATTGGTTATTTGTTATATAGAGCGGGTAGTACTATAAGGAAATTTGTTATTGTTTTTTTTCCAAATAAATATACTGTGGTACGACAATGTTAGACACATATAGAAATACGGTAGATGTTAAATTTGTAATCAGTTATTGAAAATTTAACCAATGTCAATAGATGGCGTTTACAATTTTGAAAGTTGTTATTAAAATTACAAAAAAAATTAAAATAACTATTTTTAATTGTTCACAAGTTGTAAAAATTCAACAGACAAAAAATATATAATTTTTAAAGTATGTTATAACAAATGTTAATATGTATTGGGTTGTCCGGAAAATAATGCAGGATTTTAAGTTTTCATTAAAAAAAATCTATATAAAATATTCTGTTTACGTTTACAGGATTACTCATTTGTATGAATGTCNATTATTTTGATTAAAGAACATTGCTTTAAAGTAACTAGTTTCTTTTTTTTTGTTTAATACCAAAATCCTGCATTATTTTCCGGACAACCCAATAATAAAACACCAGGCATTCCTCATGATTTAGTCTGGAGTTCTGGACCATCAGAGATTGTTTTATTGTTAGAATGTTTTTAGTTAGAAATTACAGTTTTTTAATTATATATAAATTTGTAAATACTCACCTTGATCATATGAATGAAGGATATCAAGGAATTAAATGTAAGCATAGATTCAAACAGCTTGCTTTAGGATCGTCAGAAAAAAACTGAGCTGTGGAAGAATTTTATAAATGCAAAAAAAATAAACTTATTTTCTAAGTGTATTTAAATTTTCCATAGACCTTGATCAGAAATTATGAAAATAAAAAGAAACAGGGTAAAAATACCCTGAACATCTTTGTTTCATTCCTACCAATATCCTTAATACCATATCCTTTATTTTGGGGCTTTATGAAACTACTAATTCACAAATTCTTCTATACAAAGTTGAAGATTATTCTTGGTAAGAAAAAAAAAGTTACTTGCGAAGTTAGCTCACTACACCAAATTGCTCTTAAAAGCCTCTTAAAGAAGAATATGACTTTCTGAATGTATTCATTAAGGAGAAAGAAAATTCATGAAACGGCGTTACACCTCCACGACCGACCATTTTCTGTAAATGCATGGTTACCCTAAAAAATGTATAAATTACAGGGAATGGCTGTCTCATCAGTTTCCAAATCTGGATTGGCAAGCATGAAAGAAGTGAGATTTTCAGTTTATTCTCTGTGGGCGTAAAAACAGGTCTTTTGGAAATTTATTATGGAATAAGGCAACTGTTACAAAAAAGATAAATATAACTCTAACGGAAATCAATGAAGACAACTGATGTAAAAGAATATTATGCAATCAAATAAAACTGATTTTAAACAGAAAAACTGATATTACCGATCTTAGTAGTGTATGAACATTTTTGTCATGCCTTTTCTTAATAAACAATGAACGTTAGTTAAAAAAATACTAACTTTTTTGGTAATTTATCAATCTACAAAAGAAATGAGATGTCGAGAATTTTCGTCCATGGAGTGCTCGAAGGATAACACTGTAATGAAGAATTTTATTAATGTGTGTGTGCGTGTGTACTTTTTAAATCCTTTCAGCTTTAATTCGTCCATCTGAAGAGCAGATGAAAACAAAATGAAACCAAATTAGAATTACTTAAAAATAAAATTACAAAAACAAAATTACTTACTTACTCACCCCACATCAAACTATCGCTCAAAATTGAAAGGTTCTTGTTAAATAATACTTAGCAGATGAAAAAGAAATTAAAAATGTTAAGGCGCTGTTTTATGTACGTTTTTAAACTTTCAGAATCAAGAATGTGCAAAGACTTTAACGCCTTTTGTGAAGTATAGTACCGAGTGAATTTAACGCCTTTTTGAAATCGTCTAACGGCGAACCTCGCTCTCCGTTTTAAAACCAATACTAACAATAAAAAATAAATAATTTTTATTTCTCTAGAAAAAAAGTTATATGTAGAAAAGGTTTTTGTCGGCACACAAGAGGGCGCACTGTTAGAACTTGTCCAATAGTGGTCCTTCCACTCAGATCAGTTCGCTTCGGCTAGTGAAAGTGGCCAGTTGTCTTGTGTTTACGGCCAGCACAGGGATTTACCAAACATGTCGATGAAGTTTACCAAGTCCACATGCTTGAGTTAACGCGAGGGACACATTTGCAAACCAGGTTTGCTAAATGCACAAAGATCCGCCCCTGGGCGCCTTCAGATTTTCCGGAAATCCTTTTTTAAAGCTTTGCAATAACTGGCTTAGATAAACACAGGTAAGAAATTTACAAGGCGAATACTGTTAAATACTAAATGGCTACAGGTGTAGGCTTATTATTTAAAATAGAAGATTCCAGGATTTTTTTCTCTCCATGGGCGTACGGACGTTATTGTGTTTTGTAAGAACCGCCCATTCCATGCGAGTCAAAAATACGAAGGGTTTTCTTTAAAAGTATAAGTACAAACAACAGTTTAAAAGCTTACAAACGAAGCATAATTCCCAATATTGCAGTACTAATAACACTCAACTCGATTTTCCTATAAATTTTTCCTTGTTGTAGAAAAGAAATTGACATTATTTTCTTCAACTTTTTTTATATTTGAAGTATTCATTTAAGCCATTTTATAAACATCCGCTATTAAACAAGAAAACATGAATTTTTTTATAATCGTACAACTTTCAGTTAATTTCCACCTTGACATTTCTGTCTTACCTTCAAGTAAAGTTTATTTTTTAAAGACAGCAACATTGCAAAATAAAAAACTTAATAACATAACAAATATATAATGTTTATTTAAAATTAAAATTGAAATAAAAATATTGTAATAAAAAATAACACAATGTTACTAAGATCGAGTTGATGAAGCACACATAAAAAGTAATTGATTTTATTCACCCCGTCAAATCCATATTCAATCATTTTTTGGTTAAATACAATGAAAAATTATTAAATGGGCAAGTTAAACTAAGTGGGATTGTGAAATGTTGAGTTGCGGTCCGCGAAGGTGATAGACCTGCATGTTGATCGCCATCTCAAGTGGTTTGGTCTGTTTGTTTTACCGTGTGTTTTGTCCCGTTAGGAAAGACAAATAAGAAAGGTATAAGAAAACGATGGAAGATCAAGTTTCAAACACACATTAACTCCCCCTTCCCAAAACAAAATCCTCATAATCGACAAAACAATTTTCATCATCTGTGATGATTGTGTAAATTAATAAATTATTTGGAAATTTAAGAGGATTTCTTTGTTTCATCTTCGTTCAGGAGTTTTTCCCGTCAATTTTTTTTCGACGAATAAATAGCGAAACTAAACGGGTAAAAATTCCAACGCTCGACTGATTCCAAGTTGAATATGACTTTAAATACTCCAACATATCAGTTTAAATTTCTTTTCCTCTGCGAAACACGGCCAATGAAAGCAATGCGAGACGGTACGAGCAGATTAATGAGCAGAAAGTGTGTTAACTTTGGTAGCCCTATTGCTTAATCAGTTTGTAAATGTTCAGCTGCATGCAACCACCTAAACCGTAACTAGATAACCATCTCGAAAAGGCGAAAGGCTTGGGGAAAGTGTTTTTGTTTTGGTTATATTTCAATTGCTGTTTTTCTTCTTTTTCTATTGGCACGATATCGGCATTCGTTGAAGAAACTGAGACAGCAGGAAAAGAAGTATTCTATGAATTTTAAATACCTTTGGACGTTGTAAACGGACACTGCATCCAAACTATTTGTTAAATCGTAAAAGGTAGGAATCGTTCATATGCACATACATGATTTTTTATTTAAGCCTGATAATCTAACAAAATCAGACTTAAACTATCCAAAAATATCAATTTTAAAATGCATCTTGAACAAACTGAATGCATTTTTAAATTTAGAACAAATTATTGTTATTATTATATAAGTTTGATAAGGTCATGTAAAATTGTAGCATCTTAATAGAAAAAATATATTTTAAATTCGTTGATTTTTACGAACAATAATTCAATAAGTAGTCTCATTTTTTTGTTGTGGTTCTATCCTTTTTTATTGTTGTTCAAAAGTCAGTATATTTAAATTGATTTATTTGTTGTTTCTTTCAAATTGCACAAAAAAATATTACGATTTGTGTTCGTAATGGTTTTGAATCTTGAATCAGGAAAATATTTTTGCCCATATGGTAAGTCTGTGACCAGTGTACGACGATTCGTTAAATCGAACAGGTAGGAGTTGTTCATCTGCATATCGATGATTTTTTAAATTTAGATCTAGCAATGTTATAAAATCCTATTTAACCAGGCCAAAGGTATAAAATTTATTTAGTTTTTAAAGTGCAAATTGGGTAAATTGAGTTTTATTTAAATAAAAAAATCATTGAATTGTTTATTTTACTAAAGAATAAAGTCATTTTTTTTATTGATGAAATAAAGCATGTTCATCGAAAACAGAGGGCTTTCATTTCTTAAAACGAAAAATGACTCAATGATTAGTCATTTCTTTGTTGCAGTTCTTCCCTTTATTTTGTTCTTGATCAGCCCAATTACCACTCGACATATAAATAATCCGTCGATATATCAGTTGTTTACTTCAAATTTCACCCAAAATGTGAAATCTGTGTCCATATCGATTTCGCTTTGTGAACCAGAACGGATATTTTTGCCCATATGGCTCGACGTGCGAACAGCGGTGGGCACACAGGCAAACCTCTGGTGGGTGGTTGAGTAGGAGTTAATGTCGCAGACGAAGGTCGTCAACTCGGGGAACCCACACGGTATCTTTTCCTTTTCTAGTTATATTCTTCTCTCTCTCTCTCTCTCTCTCTCTCTCTCTCTCTCTCTCTCTCTCACACACACACACACACAACACACACACACACAGACGTTCAAAAACAAGTACACCCCCACAAAAAAAAAGAAATTGAAAATACAGTTAGATTACAGGGACCGTTTATATATTATCAAGATGAGGCGAAGAGCGTGAACGCAGACGGTATAAATTGATGGTTAAAACAGGCCCGCGTTCTTCCTTTTTAAGAGAGGCACGTTCGCGATCATCTTTTCAACATTGAACTTGATAGATCCTGTATTCGATTTTCGACCGTTTCAAATGTTGATGATTTGGCCAGGATGACGGAGTGGTCGGGTAACCCACTCGATTTTCCCAACTCATGTTTCATTGTGCAATTTTTTCCCATGTGCAAATCCACTGTTTTATAATCGGAGCCTTTTTCTAAAATCTATAAGGGAAGATTTTTATGGTTTCAGGCTTTTCCGTTTTCCGTCAAAGACATACACTCATTTTATCCTCCGAGGGGGTGGTGTTTCTCAACAATCGATCAAATGGAGAAATCGTGCGAGGCGTAATAAAAACGGACAGTCGGCGATGATTATGGCGCAGCGCATTATTTCGAAATGTTCGTGTTGTTAAAGTACGTGCTCAAACTGTGCTGGCTATTTCTCACAAAAAAAGCTAAGATCTTGGAGTACAAAGTCACTTTTAGGCAGCATTTATAAGTCTATTGTACATCAGCCAGCATTTTGACGGATATTGATAGAAAAAACAAATTTACAATCATCAGAGTAAAAATAACGAAATGGAGAAACAGAAATATTGTTTTTATAAAGGGCTTTTTCTGCTGACTTCGTTGCTAAAAACTAAATAAAGTGGCAAAAGTCAAAAGTAAAGGTGCTCCTAAATGGAGAATATTGCCAGATTTGTTGAGTTAAAAAAAAATTAATTACATATACATAAACAGCAAAACAAGGATTATTTAAAACAAAGACGATGCAGGGACTCTTACATATCCGATAACCACTCAAATGTCCAGGCGTGTCCGATGTACTTAAGAGACGGTCATCAGTCAATCCAGTTTGGCATAGGAGAAATAAGGAGCTCTTTCTCCTCTGAGCTATGATATACATTCAACAAATGATAAGAATCACTTCTTACATTTAAATTACAGTGCAAAAACATTTTAACGGTCGAGTCCCTTATTTTGGAAATAAACAAAGATGGTTGTTCAAAATTTTTAAACTGTCCATAATAAATAACCTAATTGAAATAGAAATATATAGAAAACCCACTACTACAGACACATTCTTCTCATTCATGTACCCAAAAGCCGCTGAATTAATTTGGCTCATAGATCGTATCTTGAAATTCCCATTAATACACGCTAATTATAAAAAATAATTACAAACGATTAAACCCTTAGTTAAAAACACTGGATATCAAGAAATATTTATAGATAGATTGTTAGTAAAAAAATAATAACACAACACAACTCTTTCACACAAAACCAATATGGCACAACAAGAATAGCACCGAATAGCAGCTTCTCCGCCAAAAATAAATTATTAGGTATTTATTTATATATATTTATAAATTATTATTACCATGCCATACATTGGTGAACTATTAGAAAAAGTAGATAAAATTCTTCTTTATAAAATCCGGATCGTTGTAAGCAACAAATGTGTGAGTAGAACCATAATTTATAAAAAGTTTCAGTCCCTTTTCTAGCCATGGTTTGTAATTCACATACCATTCGCCCTGGAGTTTAAGAAAAAAACAATTTAACTCAACCAGATTACCACTGGTTTGTGATGAACTTTATAATCTGTCATAACGGTCATATGCAATGAAAACTTATAAGAATATTTTAAATGGGAGCAGTGATAATTGAGTATAACGACATGGGTCCTGAATTACTTAAGAAATGACGAGAATGTTTTTGGGACAGTGATATCCACTCTTTGAACCATAAGGTTTTCTAATATTCGAAGCGAAGAAATTTTGGAGAATCGGAAAGCCGGAAGAGATACAGACTTTAAACCGTATTTAATATGAAGTTACAGAGGAAATGAAAATAGAAAAATAAAGATAAAATAGGAAAGAATAGGTGAAAAAAGCCCGCGTATATGGACCGCAAGTAGAGAAAGGTTGCTCGATGTGTCCCACCTATTTGAAAGGTGCGATTCCTTGGCTCCATATAGAGAGCACATAGGAATGCCACCCGATATGAAAATTGCACTTGAGCACGGCAGCGTGTATCTGGGTCTCCTGTCCCGAAATTACTGTTATACTGTACATAAAGCTTTATAAATATCTCGTTTAGTGTCCACTTGAGTGTGTTGAGAGTGGATGTACTTAATAGCGTGAATGTGTAGTGTGAGAGGGTCGAAGGCGGAATGTCGAGTACCCCATCACCCTAATTAAATGAATGGTATGTAAATAGGAAAGAATGTATTTAAGAATGAGTGAAAAAAGCCCGCGTATGTGTACAGGCATGTATTT